CAATAAAGTTGTATAATTTAATTACACACACTTAGACCTGGAAGTTATTAAAATTTTTGCATAATTTTTTAATAATGAAATTTTTGTTATACAATAGTATAGACTTTATTTTGTTTTTGATATATTTATCAGTGCCTTACAAGAGTTCGTCCTCTGCAAGAACCGACACGTGGTTCAAGACTGCGGTCAAAGGGCCAGTCTATTCATGGAGAAGCACTTACATCGTATAACTAATCCAATTATGGATCAGCACTGTTCTGCTTATACCTATGGACCGGACGCCTGCACTCAAAAGGACTCGCAAACCAATAATGCGATTAATAATCACAACTTTTCTAACAATTGTTTATTAATAACATTTTTGTTATCATTAGTATTGTTTTCAACATTTTCATTTAGAGAGGCATTCATATATAAGTAATATAATATTATTACCGTAATATTAATATTAATGAATTATGATAATCCTAAATTTACAATTTGTATATTTAAATATACACTTTTTCAATCATAATAAAAACTTGTTTTTAGTTATAATGTATTTGTTTAATTATAATTATTTAAATTTATTTTTAAAGTTTTATAAATTATATATTATAATACAATATATTAAAATACAAATGTTTATTAGTTTATATGTGTGTAATAGTGTGTATTTCATACATATTATAGTAAAATATTTACATTCTAAGTGTTGGCGTAATATGAAAATAAATGAATAAAATTTTCAAGTCTATATAGAAATAATTTGTGAAGATATAATAAATATTGATACAATATATAATAGGTTTATAAAATATATACAATAATGTATTATTTCATAGTTTTTTTTAGTTTTTTGAAAACAATTTTAAATTTCTGAATATTGCTAAATATTATATTATAGATTACATTATCTTATTTTTGGTTTTTAATATTACTGATATTATTTTATTTATTATAAAGAAAACAGATATTAAAATTATTAGTTAGATATTTTAAAAATTATATCAATATCTTATTATTTAAATATTTATATTTAATTTGCTAATTAAAAAATATATCTTTAATAAATATAAGGTTAACCTTTAAAAATCTAAGTAAAAATCAAAAACAAAAATAACTTAAGTTTAAGTTAATATTTACTAACAAAAAAATCAAAATTAAAAATTACTAATAATCAGTAGTTTTTGTAGTTAACAAACTATAACAATAAAAAACAGAAGCAATATTAATAGTAATCATATAACTTATGTACAGTATATTCAAGGTATTGGGTGTAATATTTTTAATGACTTTACCCTTAATTGAATAAAAAAGCAGATTATATTAGCTGTGTAATATATTATATAATAACAAAATTACTTATCATGACTTACAATACCATACTTATAAAAACTATATGCAAAAAATATGTAATTGAGTTTTGACACTAAACAGAGCACACATGCGGTGCTAATATAGTAATAGTTGTTATATAATATTATAATACTATACATATTCACACACACACACACACACACACACACACACACACACACAGAGAGAGAGAGAGAGAGAGAGAGAGAGAGAGAGAGAGAGAGAGACTTTATTTGTGAAACACTTTTCTTTATCACTTTTTATAACTATGTTTTAGAGATGTTATACTTTATAATTTTAGTAAAATACAAAATACTATATGCTTTATACTCTCACCCCTAATGTTATATAAAATAGTGAAGCGATCAAACATTTTTCTACATAATATTTTCAAAATACAGTAAAGAATATTCTGTAGTATAAAACATACAATACTACTGTAGTATACTGTAGTTATACTATACATATACTATAACAAACAAAGTTTTGTGTTGTTTTACACTAAAAAATTGTGAAAAATGTTTGAACAATGGCTTGCTTTTAGTAAATCAATGGTTTTATTATATAAATTTATAATATCGTACTGTATGTGCTAATGCTATATCTATTTATACATTTTTTCTCTGCTATGCTTTATATATACAGTATAATGTAATGATATATATACTGTAAATATAAATTTATATCTTTTAAAACTATTATCACACAAATAGTTACACCTAATTGTGACTTTATTTTATTTAAGACATGTCATTGAATTTGTTAAATCGGTTTGCCTAAAAAAAGTTTTGATAGTAAAAAAAGGATTTTAATTTAATTTTTTAATTCAAACTATTAGAAAGCATTTAATAGTTTTATAAATTTAATTTTAATATAATTTCTAAATAAATATTTTGTTATTGTAAAAATAACTGAAAATACTATACTCTCTAACAAAAAAATAAATAAATGATAAACTGATGGATTAAACTATCGAAAAAATGTTTTAAAATCTCTGAAATAAAGCCATTTTACGTACAATAAAATATTGCTAACCATAACAATCAAAATAAGAACAATAATATCTATAATATATATATACAGTATATATAAATATAACATAAGAATCTTGAGAAACATGTATTTCCCGAAGCAATTATTAAAAGACATTGTTATCGATGTAAAAGTGCAAAAAATATATATTGAATCATATATTATAGATAAAAAGATATGTTATTTGACATTATTTAATAGGGTAGTGAAATAAATGTTTGTTTTTTATTTTTATTTACTATTACTATTAATATGATATTCAAATGTTTTTATTTTGTAAATGGTAACCAATTTTAAAAAAAAGTTTACATTTATTTTTTTAAATATAAATATTTGATATTTATATTAAATTGAATTAAAATTTAAAACAAAAATAAATACATAGTAAACATTAACTTATATACGGTATAACTGATTCTGGACTCTAAGCAACCATAAAAATGTTATATAAATGTTAAACTATTATTATAAACTAAAACAAGAAATCATTTATTTTATGCCTGTTTTTCTATCACTTCATATACTGTACAGTAAAGCATACCGTTTCTCATCAAAACCCATTGTACAGTACTATTGTGTACAACACTATTGAATGATCAATTGATTAAACCGAGCAATCAGTTTGTATTATATTATATTTTTAGTCCCGGAGTTTATCTTTGCAAACAGTATTTTCTTATTTTTTCAATAGAGAAATAAATAGTCTCTCCGGCAATGATAGGGACGTCTAATTAGACAACAGTCACATAACATAACAAAATAAAATAAATGACAATTATTTGGAAATGTCACTCAATGACACCGGTATATAGTAATTAATATTATTTATAATATACTAATATAAAATATATATTATTAATAAAATGATTTTTTAAATAAACTATTTAAAAAAAATAATTTAAGTATAATATACGGTATATTCAAATAATTATTTTATATAAATGGTTATAAATATTACTGATTATGACTAAAATAGTAAATTTGATTACTAAAAAATCTGAACAATATATATTTATAAACATTGTGCTAATTGTTATCAATATAAATAATTATTAATTAAATTTGTCATTTATTATTTCACAGAATATTAAAGTTAAGTAATAAATAGTATATAAAAAATTTATATAGTAATTTTCATCATAAAAAAATTATATATTATTTCACTCTTTTATTATTTTAATTATTTATTAGCAGCAAGTATTGCTGATAGTAATTGTTATGTAAAATATAATGTGAATATCATATTAATATATATATAAATATATAATAATATCTTACACGCTTATAATCAATAATATATTTTATATAAGATTTTATTAGTGTCTACCAATTGTTATTGTATTATTATTTTACAACTTTTAATATTTATAACAAAATATTATTTTAAATAGAATTAAATTATAATAACTTTTTTTAGTTGAAGAAATCTGAAAATATATTAAATCAACCTAATATAAATCATGTTTACGTAATACCCATGATATCATACTGTATATTACATACAAATATAAATTAATTGTTAACGCAATGCCCGCATATTCAAAGTTAATGTGCCGTTTGCATGACTGTCCAGTTGTTTGGGTGCACACCAAGCAATAAATAATAGGGAGTCGACTATATAATTGTGTGTCTTGTAATAACAGACCCGTATATATAATCGTATCAGTAATAAAACATTTTGTTTAGACTTTTATTAGGCATATTTATGCTTTTATTTTGAGATTATATACAATTAATATACAAGTATTATATTCTAAGCAATAAACAAATGGAAAAAACAAATTATAAGTATAAAATTATTAATAAATATAAATTTGTTAATCAAAATAAATTTTATAATCTAATGTACAGTATATAAAATGCATATGCTTATTATTAAGATTCAACAATTAATTGATATTTTTTAATTTTAATTTAATTAATATATTAAGTAATTATGTTCACAAAATTTTAAATAAGTCACTAATTTTCTATGTTATAACAAATGGTATTCAAAAATTTAATTATATTATTAATCATATAATTTAATTTAATAATTTGTTTGAAATACTTATTATAATTAATTCTGTATAAATTTGTTAAAATATATAAGTTAGTCTGAACTAAACAATTATTTATTCAATAATATTATTAATAATTAATTAATAAAACAGTATGTTTAGAAAATTTTGACAATTTGCTACAAATAAAAATATTATATATTTATTTTTATAATAAAAATAAAAATTTGAAATCAATAATAAAAGAAGTCATTTATTTATCCAAAAAATTATATAATTAATTGTTTGACAAATACTAAGTGAATTAATAGTAAATTAATAGAAAACAGTTGAGTAAATATTGTAATTGAATTTAATGAACAACATTATGCACACATACAGTACTACTGTATTATGGATTTAATAGATTTTGACAATTTTACAAATAAACAAAATTTCCTAAATTTTCATAATATAATATAATATCATATAATATCATTAATATCATAATATAATATTATACTGTAAATAATTTAATTTATATAAATAATACGATAAATAATTGGTAGGTAAATAAGTAAGTAAGTAAATAAAAATTAGTAAAAATGAAATAATAATAATATATATTATTTTGTCATTAATTGTAAGTAAAATTAGTAGCAAATATTACAAACCTTATAAATTATAATTATAAGTTATAATAGTGCTATTTATTATTATTATTATTAATAAAATTGTTATAAAGTTATTATTTGAGATAAATATCACTATCACTAATGGTTTTATCAAATGATTAGTCATTAGATGTCATTAACTATATGTAAGACATTTTTAGCGACCAAAATCCTATCTCTCATTAGGGAACTGATCCCATTTGTTTAAGACAATAATATAAGGGAAATATTAAGTGGAATAGATATAGAAATATATATAAAAAGTGAGTGAGTGAGTGAGTGAGTGAGTGAGTGAGTGAGTGAGTGAGTGAGTGAGTGAGTGAGTGAGTGAGTGAGTGAGTGAGTGAGTGAGTGAGAGAGAGAGAGAGAGAGAGAGAGAGAGAGAGTCCAAACAATTATATATATATCTTTGAGACAAATTAGAGATTGAATAAGCGCTCAAATTAATCATTGACTCAATATATAGGACCAGAGATACACACCATAAGACAGAAATTTTTGATCAAAAGACAACTCCAGACTCACAACAATTGGTTTTTTATATTATTGTATTTCTCATACATTTTCTTATTATTGATAATAGATTTGAGTTAAAGTCTAGAATCACTCTGTATTTTCCTATCCGTGCTTTTTATTTACTACACAATCTTTTTTCCTCTTTTACTCCTATCCTTTAAGTCTCTCTCTCTCTCTCTCTCTCTCTCTCTCTCTCTCTCTCTCTCTCTCTCTCTCTCTGATCCCAACGTGTCTTATCTTATAAATGGTGTGTCCATTCAAAGACATATATAAGTGAAGACACACTTCTAATTAATGTATATATAGTTTTTATACAAAATAACAGTATTTTTCCTTAAATACTTTTATAATATTATATATAAAAAGCATTTATTAAAACTATTTTATGCTATTTTTCTTTTTGTTGAAATGTATTGATTTATTGATAAAATAATTTGTAATTCTGCAGTTATTTTTTACACAAAATTAATTAGTTTATACTACTATAGAGTAAATGTTTTACGTCTATCTTAACTTTATATCTGTATATTTTACATGAAAAATAATTTTTAAATTTTAATAATGATTATTATAATTAGTATTATCAAGGTTAAACAAGGTTAAGAAATGTTGTGATACATTTACATAATAAATACTCACAGATTTAATATATTTATTTAAACAATTCAAAAGTTTATCAAAAATAAGTAATTAGTTTGCTTTATAATTATTAAAAAATATTTATCATTTAATTTTTAAAAATTAAATTAATAAAATAATTTTTTGTGATTTGTAAATATTTAAATTTTTTGGTATATTAATATTATTGATAAGGTAAGTATAATCTACTAAATATAAAAGAGGATCCCATTACTAAAGGACGGGTAGGCATCTATGTATATATCAATATATATCTCTCTAAATACTCTCCCACGAGAGGGACAGTTGGTTTTTAACTAGTTTAAACACCATTATTATAGTAAATTTAACATGGTGTTATGGGGAACAGTAAGTTGAGTAACTAAATATTATAAAAACCAAAACATTAACTATTGTTGTATATAAATATAGTAATTGTTTTAGATATTTATAATAATTTTATAGATATCTATTGTAATTTAATACTAAACATTAACTGATAATATAAATTTGTAAACTTTTAAATTTTGATTAGTGTACAAATAAACTATTAATACAGTAGTATATAATAATTTATTTATAGTTACAAAGTTGTTTACATTTTTATTTTGGCAACTGTTTATGTGAAATGAAATTTTTTTACTTATATTTATAACAATTTATATTGAAATTAATTAAATAATTTGTAAATTAATGTAATAGTAATTTGTACTAAACAGTGATTGTTGATATAGTTAACACTAATAATGATGAAACCTGTCTATAATAATACAATGGATAAACATTATTTAATTGAAGAGGTAATTATTATCAATAAATGTTTAAATATTTTTTATTGCTAGTTAAAAATCATATGTAGATGTCTAAAAATAACTAATAATTTATAAAATTGCAATATTTATTTTAAATATTACATCATAAACAATAAACATTTATCAATTTAAGTTTATCTATTTTTTAAATAACACTTAAGTTGCTAAGCATATTAAGATTTTATATATAACTAAAATATATATTTAATTACATAAATTAAATTTGAATATATTTTGCTTAATTTATCACTAAATGTAACTCAAATTGATGAATTAAAACTATTTATAAACTATTTTAAAAATTATATGAAAAAACAAAAACTAATTAATCATAAATATTCAATATTAAAGTAAAAAATGATTTAACTAATTATACAAAAAATTAAAACATCAGAAATATGTTACTTTTTATACTAACAATTGGTATATACAGTATATAAATATATTAACAGCATTTTTATATTGTTATAATTAAAAATCAAATTCATTATTATTTGTATATTTGAACACATGATTTGTTTTTATACTGAATGGTGATTATCATACATCACAACAACAGTTATCATCTTTTCATTAGATACCGATAGTGTTACTAATAAATACTTGTAATATAATAATAATGATGACTATATTAGACAATTATGTATTAAAAAAATATTTTTCTGCCATTTTTCTTGATTTATTTATATAATACGCTATTTTGTGATAGCTAAATTGCTTTATTACCGTTAAACATAATAAGTTTTTTTAAATTGTTAAATAATTCATTGATATAAAAGTTTGTATGTTTATATAGTAGTGTTTTGTATGTGATATTATTATAAACATTGTTACACATCATTAAAAATAATATTAAATAAAATCATAAAATTGTTATTTTAAAAACAAATATACTAGTAGCTATTTTTATCATATAAGTTTTAAATGCGATATATATTATATAAATATATATTTGTGTATTTCAGCAATATTTTTGACAAAAAAATATAACTTAATATTCAAACTTCAAAGATATATTTAATGGTTTTTAAATTTTGATAACAATATAAACAAATTACACATATATTTTTGATAATTTTGTTATTAAATGTTGAAAATAAACTGAAAACAAGTGTTGTTATTAATATCATTGATAAAAGTTTAAAGATAATTGTAAATTGGGATTTTTTTGATAAAAATATTTATGTCAAAAATGATGAACGTATTAGTAGCGGCCATACGGGACAAGAGGAACGGTAGCAAACGTGACAGTGGTTTTAGTATGAGATCACAATATCCACAATACGTACTCTACGACGTGTGTGTCATAAGTTTTTTTACAGCACTAAAAATATTTTAATGAATTAATTTATTAATAACTTTGATATATTTATTTAATAATTTATTGTTTACTATTAAGAATTTTACAAAATTATTGATTAAAAAATATATTAATTTTTTGTGTATTTTTAATCTGATATCTGATGACAGAGTGATGGCGATGAAGTTGAGTGTAATTTATCAAACATGAAGATGTCTTATGGAAGTAATAGTAAGACAGCGCTTACGGATGTCATCATCAGGTATGGCATCAAATAATTTTTCAAAAATATTTAAGACTTTAAATATTGAATCTACAAATACTGTTATTTTAATTATAATATCAGTAAAAAAATATATTTACAATAACTAACAAATAAAAAATTAGATAATAATATGAACCTTTGATAAATTATTTTTTTTTATTAAAATTTTTATATTATTTGATATTATTTAAAAAAATATTATATTAAACCATTTTTTTGTATAAGGGAAATATGTTGCAATTAATTGATAATAAACTTTTACTTTTTTTTGTGTATAAAATTTATATGGAAATTATAAAAATTCAATATACAATTATTTGTTTATATTGGCATTTTAAAAGTTATAATCAAAATAAAAATTATTTATATATATTGAATATAACTTAAAATTATTCATTTTTTCCATAAATGTCAGACAATATCGAAAAAACTGTTTGTCGCTCCAATTCTCTTATTACTCTCTCTCTCTCTCTCTCTCTCTCTCTCTCTCTCTCTCTCTCTCTCTCTCTCTCTCTCTCTCTCTCTCTCTCTCTCTCTCTCTCTCTCTCTCTCTCTCTCTCTCTCTCTCTCTCTCTCTCTCTCTCTCTCTCTCTCTCTCTATCAATAGGTTTTTGCTTACAATAGGAGTAGACATAAAAAAGTTAAAATATTATTTATATAATAAATTAATAGAGAAATGATTTTTCATTATTATTATTATAAGTTTTTTTAAATAGTAAAATATTCAACCGATAATAGACGGACACAAACAATAGGTTGTGACTCTACCTGTGCTTTGTTTGACTAAAAGTTATTTTTATTAATCAATAAAAGTCTGTCTGTATATTAGTTTTTTATAAAATATAAAAGTTTGTTGTAAAACATGCAAATATTAATACATTATATCGTGACTACTAAAAATAATTTTTATATAATATATTTACTCATAATTTATATTTTATAACTTTTAGTTTATTAATTTGACAATAAATGAAAAATACTTTAGCTATATATAAGTTAAAATTAGTTTATTTATCAAATATGTCTATTTATATATTAATAAATTTTTATATGTAGACCCCGTGGACGTGGATTTTGGTCAAACAGAACACCAATGGAAAGATTCATGATTTTCCTCATAACCACACTGTTTATGGTAACAGTTGGTCTTGTTTTGACCGCTACTTATATAACTTACAATAGAGATATCAATGTCACGATAAATGGTTTGTATATTATATATCGATAAAATAAATCAATGCTTTTTCACTATATGCTATATATTGTATATACAGTATATAGTGTTAAATTGGTTTTGATAGAGCACTAGTAATAAAAGAAATTATTAACAAATATAATTGTTTTCTATGTAGTAGTAAATCAAACATCACATTCAGACATAGATATTATCAGCACCGGTAGTCCTGATGTTATATTTAGTAATCAGTCAATTCAGACAGTATCTAATCGTCCAGAAAATGCTGTCAGTGATAGCTCCGAGTCATCGATAGCAACACAAAGTACTAGTGATACAAGTGTTGTAATCAACCAAACGATGGCCAATACTGTTCATACAAATGAAATGGACGACCAGTCTGTGATTGAAACACAAAATACATCAAATGTAACGTCAGATAATGCGGTCAACACAAGTGAGACACTTGTCGACAATAAACTCAGCTCAATATCAATAAACATCTGTAACACTGAGGCCTGTAAAAAGGCCGGTCAAATAATTAGGGATTCACTAAACACAACAATAGATCCATGCGATGACTTTTATGAGTTCGCGTGCGGCGGTTGGGAGACCACTCATACAATACCAGCCGATAAGTCCCGTTACGGCAGTTTTGACGCCGTCGATGAAGAGCTCAAAAAAAGTATTAAAGAATATTTGAGTAAAAAAACTACAAAAAGTGATTCAAAAGCCGTTATCTATGCCTCAGATTTTTACAAGGCTTGCATTGATGAGGGTATTAGTTATTTAATTTAATTTTTTGTTATAATATTTTAATATATTTACTAATATTTTTTAGCAACTATTAATTCACGCGGAGTAACACCACTTCTGGATGCACTTAATTCAGTGGGCGGTTGGCCTATCATTGGACAGTCAAGTGTCTATAAAAACAGTGATTACGATTGGACGGAATCGTTCGCTAAACAAATGGTTAACTTTGGTGTGGCCGCCATATACTCGGTCTCAGTACAGCCGGATTCCAACGATACACTTGTCAATAGAGTTTACGTAAGTTTTTTATTTAATATTACACATATTATAGCAATATATTAAAACTTATTTTAGTATGACTCCGGTGTTTTTGGTTTGGGTCGCAACCAATTGGCTAATACCAGTGCTTATACCGATATAGTCAACGCATACAAGAAATACATACTCGAATCGGCACTACTATTAGGCGGTAAAAATGATAGTCAAACACAACAAGATATTGAAGATATATTGGCATTTGAATCAAAACTTGCTATTGTATGATAAAAATTAAAAATATTTTTAAAAATTAAACTCAATTATTATGAAAACAATTTTTTCAGTTATCATTACCACCGGAGAAAAAACGAGACTCAAGTATTTGGTACAATAGGATGTCTTTCAATGCATTCAATGACTTGACGACCCAAAAGATTGATTGGTTAAGCATAACGAATAAGATCTATGAAAAGCTAAACTCAACAATTCGTGTCCAAAACGATGAACTGGTTATCATTCAGGACATTGACTATTATAAGGGCGTCAGTGAGTTGTTTGAGAAAACACCTGTACGTGTGATCGCCAATTACTTTGGTTGGATGACTGTCATGAATCTGGGCTCCTATACCACCAAACAATTTCGGGACATTGTGTTTACATTTGACAAAGTAGTGTCAGGTGTGGAAAAAGAGACCGAACTGTGGCAGACCTGTACTAATAGTTTATCATCAAGTCTTCAATACGCTGTGAGCCGACTATATGTCGACAAAAAATTCACACAAAAAGATAAGGAAGAGGTTTGTGTCAGTCTGTTGTTCAATAAATTAGCGAATGATTTGTTTGTTTGAATTGTATTTTATTTTTGTTGATCTGAACAGAATATTCTGTAAGAGAGAGAGAGAGAGAGAGAGAGAGAAATAATTACTAATTATTGTTATGTCATTTGTTTTTAGGCGGCGCTAATGATTAATGATATTAAGGAGTCGTACAATCAATTAATTGCTGAAAGCGATTGGTTGGATGAAAGCACCAAAAATAAGTCATTAATCAAATTGAATGCCATTAAGCAAAATATTGGTTATCCCGATTGGCTACTCAACAATGATGACCTGGATAATTATTATAAGCTGGTTAGTAGCAGCACTTATAATAAGTTTATTAAATTATGTTATTTATAATTATTAATAATCTTTGATTTTATTAATATATTATTATTTTTACAAAATATAGACTCAATCAGTGGACCCGAAAAAATCCTTCGAAAGCATACTTTACTTGCAATATGTTTCGGTGAACCGCGAGTTCAAGTCTATCCGAGAAAAAGTTAATCTAACCCTTAGGTATATCTATTATATATCTATTTAAATAATTAAAAACTTTAATTAATTGACTTAAATTTTGATAATAAGTTGGCCAATGCCTCCTGCAATAGTAAACGCTGCCTATGAGCCAACACAAAACTCTATTAGTAAGCGATTTATTTTTGTTAATTTTAGTGAAATAATCGAAATTACTGTTTATTTAATTTTACAATAATATTTTAAAAGTATTTTACTGTATATATCTGATTCAATTTATCTTAAGTAAATTTATATATTATTATTATTATTTTTGATTACAGCAATACCTGCCGGTATATTGACCCTACCGTTTTTTGATAGCCAACGACCCGCATATCTTAACTATGGTGCCATTGGACTGGTAGTGTATTATTTTATCCTAATTTAATTGAGTATTATCTATATATATACTTAAATTATCTTAAATTATTTGATTGGATATCAGGTTGTAGGGCATGAAATGACACATGGATTTGATGACGAAGGTATGAATTTTTTTAAAAAATTTAATAAATGTCTACTAATTATTACATATATTTATTTAAAAAAATATTTATATAAACAGGCAGCCAATTTGATCCAAATGGTAATCTAATCAATTGGTGGACACAAGAAATCCGTAAACGTTTTGAGCAAAAAGCCGATTGTTTTATTAATGAATATTCTAGTATTTATGTACCGGAAGTCGATATGCATGTATGTATTCTATGACTATCCCAATAGCCCTGTCCTCTCAAAATAGTAACAGTTAAATGATTGATAAATTATTATGGATTTTCAATTTTTCAATTAGCTAAATGGCAAGAATACTGTGGGCGAAAATATAGCTGATAACGGCGGTATGCGTGAGTCATATCGGGCCTATCAGATATACATCCAGAAACACGGAGAACCACCGCGACTGCCATACGTTAGCGATTATACACCCGAACAGCTCTATTTCATGTCTCACGCAAATGTTAGACAACTGTCCATTTATTTATTAAGATGTTTGAGTTGAGTTTGAGTTAACACTTTTTCCAATTGTCATCAACAGGTTTGGTGCAGTCTTTGGAGACCAGAAGCTCTGAAAACACAAATCCAGTACAACCCTCACAGTCCCGGCAAATATCGGGTCAATGTTCCCGTATCCAACTTTAAGGCATTTTCCGATGCATACAAGTGCTCACCAAACTCACGAATGAATAGAAAAGATAAATGTATTTTGTGGTAATACTGTATAATTCGTATTAAATTATTATTTTTTAGTTCATATTTTTGTAAAATTAATGAAAAATTTAAGTATATATTATTTTGATTTTTTGATTGTAATAATTACTGATATATAAATTTATATATTTTTATTCATTGATGAAGTGATACTAAATGATATTTTTTGTATTTATTATATGATATTATAGTTTGTTTATTAAATGGAATAAAATTATTTTGATATAAATTTATTTAGAAAAATATTATTATAATTTGATTTATTAAATATTACTATACCACTTACTTTTTAAAATAATAGATAAAGTAGTTTGTTAAACATTATAAAAAACTTATTAAAAATATAATCATGCACATATAAACTATTACTAATTAATGTATTATGTGTAAATTTAGCATATAATAAGTTATTATATATTATTGATGTAAAATATTATTTAAAAAAAGTAAGCTTTTCCTGCCATCGCATAATATATACAGTAATATAGAATAAATACTGAATAAACCATAAAGTAAAGTATATAAAGTTTTAGATAATACTGTATTACTAATATATGTAGTAATTTACTATTATTCATATAAGTACTGATTCATATCAGTATGAATTAAATTTATAATATAGTAATTATTAAAATGTTTTTCAAACATTTGACACATTTTCAACAAATGATATATTTAATTTCAATATTAATGTTTTGTAAATTAAAATTTATTTATAAATTAAAAATTATTAATATAATTAATGCTTTTCTCAGATTTATATTATAGTTAATTGTTAATAACTAATATAAAAGTATGCGATTTGAACCTAGAAGTAAATATATATATTAAAATAGATATCCAAAATTTACATAGATTTCCAAATTTTAATAACGGTAATATGTATTTAATTTATTGTTTATATAAAAATGTAATACAATGATATTGCTAAATTATTAATTGCTGATAAGTAGGTAGAGATATAGGTATAGGTCAAAGTAGTAATTTAACATGGCAAATTTAAATATGTCTGTTTTGAAAATATTAAATATTATAATAAATTAAAAATAAATTTAATTATTTATTTATTTATTTATTAAAATTGACTTATGACTTTTTGTTTTACAAATAAAAATAATTATTTCTTTGATAGAAAACTAATTAAAAATATTTTTAAGTATACTGACATGGATTTTTATGTTTGATAATAAATAAAAATTGTTAAAATTGCATTGTAATAATGAGAGATTGATATTTTATGTATTGTTTTGTTAGATCAGTGAATATATTATAATTAAATTTTTAGAAATAAATTTTATTTACAATAATTGTTACTGAATTGTCAATTCAGATATTTAAGTGGACAGACATCTGTTTGTGTAAAAATTATAGTTTCTGTGTAATTTGTAATTTACTGAATTGAAAATACAAAAGTAAACTATTTTTTAAAAAAAGTTATAAAAATGCTTAATTAATGACACTTTTATTAATGTAAAAATTAGAGATATGTCTCCTCAATGATTTGTGTTTCGGGTAACAATTAATTTATTATAATTTGTAGTCTACAATAATTTATTAAATTGATTAACTCTGTTACCTACCACAGAATTAATATTTATTAATAATTATAATTTTTATAATTATTTTCTGATTAATAATATTTTTAATTGATAAATTATTATCGCTAACATTTTCATAGGATTCTCAATTGTTTTACAAATAATAATAATAATCAGTGTAATAATTGTTGATATAAAAATGCCAATTTGAAGGTTAATATGAAAATTTCAAATAATTTATTATAAAATTGTTTTATAAATTATATCTACAACTTTAGATAGTTTTGTAATTTCACAATTGTTCTCATAAAAAGTCAATTATAATAATTTTTTTATACTAAGGTTATTATAATAATTTAAGAATAATAACAATAATTTAAGAATAATTTTTATTTATTATATGATAAAATGAGGTAAGCGATTTTAATTATTAAAATTATTTATTTATTTATATATTATAATAATGCGATATATGAGAAATTAAAAATAAACTTACATAAAAACCGAAACAGATTAAAATAATTTTAAATATTTAGAAAATGTTATTTTATTAGTCATTTAATTGTTAAATTCAAAGTCAAAAAAAATTAAACTAAAGCAAAAAGAAAGTTTGAATACTTTTTTATTTCTAGATTTCTAGTATTTGCTGGCATTATATTGATGTCAAATGTCGGCTTATTTGCCAAAACAATAGCTGAAGATATATGTAAAACACCTGTTTGTGAATCGGCCGGAAAGCAATTGTTGGCAAATCTAAATAAATCGGTTGACCCGTGCGTTGATTTCTATGACTTTGCGTGTGGAGGTTGGGTGGCCACACATACTATACCATCAGACAAATCAAGATATGGTATATTTGACGAACTCGACCACAACTTGAAAAAAGGTTTAAATGATATCTTAAGACAAAAGCCAACAACAAAGACTCCTCAATCAGTGAGATATTCATCGGATTTGTTTAAAGCTTGTATTGATGAAGGTTTACATAAATTGATATTTTTTTTGCTTAATTATATTTTCATTACATTTGATACTAAAATATGTTTATCATGTAATAGAAACTATTGAGTCGCGTGGTGTTAGTCCACTGCTAGGGATACTTGAATTAGTAAACGGTTGGCCATTAAGTAACCGCTTGAGTACTTTGCAAGACTGGCAAACCTCTTATGTTAATCAATTGGTGTCATTAGGTTTGGAGTCTATCTATTCAATTACAGTTTCGGCCGACGCTAACGATACACTTGTTAATAGATTTTATGTAAGTTTTTTTTAAACAAATAATTTTTATACTATAGAATTAATATATCAAATCAATTAAACCAAAATAGATTAATTCACCAAATTTTGGTTTGGGTCGCAACCAATTGGTTAATACAAGTGCTTATCCCGATATAGTTAACGCTTATAAAAAATACATACTTGAATCGGTAGTACTATTAGGCGGTAAAAATGATAGTCAAACACAACAAGACATTGAGGATATGCTTAGATTTGAGTCAAAACTGGCAAATGTATGATTAAATTAATAGATATTAGACTAAATAATAATTTTTAAAAATATATTAATACATGTAATTTAGTTATCACTTCCACAAGAAGAAAAAAGGGATCCAAGTGTATGGTATAAACGGATGACATTTACTAAACTTAATGAGTTAACCGACAATAAAGTCGATTGGTTGAAGTTAGCTAACAATATCTACGAAAGACTTAATTTACCGATTCGTGTCCAAACTGATGAACTGGTCATTGTTCAGGACAGTGGTTATGTTAAGGGTGTTACCGAACTGATGGACAAAACACCGGCCATTGTTGTATCCAATTATATGAGTTGGATGGCTGTCATGAGTTTTGCAAAATATACGACTAAAAAATTTAGAGAAACGGAGTTTCAGTTCAAAAAAGTGACGGAAGGGATACAGAAGCTGACAGAACAGGAGGAGATGTGTACGCAAACACTTCTCGATAGTATACAATACGCTGTCAGTCGTCTATATGTCGACAAAAATTTTACCCCAAAAGATAAACAAGAGGTGACTGTATACTCCACTCTTACATTATATAATACCAAAAATTATTTTATTTTTATTTAATTTAAAAAAAAAATAAATTTCTATAATAATATAGACAGCAAATTTGATCAATACTATTGCAGAGTCGTATACTAAGTTGATCCATGAAAGTGATTGGTTGGACGAGACAACCAAAAGTAAATCATTAGACAAACTTAATGCCATCACTAAAAATGTTGGTTATCCCGATTGGTTGCTCAATAACGATGAACTGGATAAATATTATCAATTGGTATAATTTTTCATACTGTTTATAATGCTTATATATAAAAAAATTTAGTTTAATGTATTATTACTATTACTGTTATGTTGTATTAATTAAATTTCAGAAACAAAAAGTTGATCCCAAAAAATCATTTGAAGGCATACTATATTTGGAGCAAATTTCGGTGATTCGTATGTTTCGTTCGCTCCGGGAGGCAGTGAATCTTACTTTAAAGTAACAAATATTACAATACTTTACATATGTGTACAAAAAAATATTAATTTAACATAATTTTTAAAAATTTATTTGATGCTAAATTACGGGTATAATGACATAGTTGGCCAATGCCACCAGCAATGGTCAACGCTGCCTACGAGCCGACACAAAATTCAATTAGTAAGTTATTATATTGTATTATGTTTTGTAAATTAAATATACAGTACAATAAAATTTCATTTTATTTTATGATGATTTTTGTTAAAAATTGCTATAAAATAAATTAATTGTTAATAATGTGTGTTTATAAGCCATACCGGCCGGTATATTGAAGCCACCCTTCTTTAATAGTGAAAGACCTGTTCAATTAAACTTTGGTGCCATTGGTCTGGTATGTGACAGTCTATTGAATATTATTGAAACAGAATTTTTTTAAATAAATATTCAATTGACTTATAATTTTTTATGTATAAAATCTCAGGTTATTGGACACGAATTCACTCATGGTTTCGATGACGAGGGTACTGTTGTTTCAGTATTTTTAAATAAATATGATTAATAATAATTATATGAAAATAGGTAGTCAATATGATGCTCAGGGTAATTTAAAGAAATGGTGGTCAACACAGATTAGAAAAAAATTTGAACAAAAAGCCGACTGTTTTGTTAAAGAGTACTCTAATATTTATGTACCCGAAGCTAAAATGCATGTAAATAATAATAATAATTATTATTATACCTTATTTACATAATTTATATTATAAAATATTTTATCTGTATTTTTATTTTTATCAATATTATTTCATTTTAATATAAAAAAATATATTTATATATTATATGTATAGCTAAATGGTAAGAACACATTGGGTGAGAACATTGCCGATAATGGAGGTATGAGAGAGTCATTTTTGGCCTATCAGTCGTGGGTTAAAAAACACGGACCATCACAACGTCTACCCCATGTCAGCGAGTATAGTGCCGATCAACTGTATTTCCTATCACACGCTAATGTTAGTAATAATAACTTTATTGTTATATTATATAATAATATTTTATTATAATAACATTATCCTAAATATTAATATTTGAAAAGGTTTGGTGTGGTATGTATCGTAAAGAGGCGCTGATTAACCAAATAGAGTACAACCCTCACAGTCCCGGCAAATATCGGGTCAATGTTCCCGTCTCTAACTTTAAACCCTTTAGCGATACATTTAAATGTAAAGCCGATTCGCCAATGAATAGAAAAGATAAGTGCATTTTGTGGTAACTGTTTGTCAAAACAATGTAATTGATATTATTATTATTTAATAATTAATTAAATAAAATAAATAAAATTATGATTTACAAAAGCATGCATATTTTGTGTATTTTTTGTGATAATCGATTATTAAATTTTCAAATAAAAATGTTTATAATTCATTATATCGTCAAAAATAATTTAAACATTGTATATAACAAAGAAAATTATCACATTTGTGTTTATTAGTGATATGAATAAAAAATACTAAAGTATATAAAGCATATGCTATAAAACACATTTTAGTATAAATATTGATTTACATATTAATTTTAAAAGCGTAAGTTTAAGTAATTTAGAAAATTTTTAAACTGTTTTATTTTGATTCCATGATTTAAATAATTTCTATCGCTTAATATAATTTAACAAATTAAAAATAATGTTACATTATTTGAAAATAAGTCTAAATATTATATATCATAAATTGTTTATTTAAATAAATAAATATTAAATAACTTAATTCAAATACTGACTTTCAGTTTGGTTTACGCACTGGTATTAGTCATACCATTTTGACTATCAATTATACTAATGATGAAGTAGTGGTATGTGATGACCAAAATCTTAGTCAACATAAGTCAACAGATAACTTGTGTTTTACATCAAATTAAAAAAAATATTTTATAAATATATTTAAAAATACTATTGATGTTAATTTAATAGTTTTTTTTATTAATTTATTATTTACATATTAGTGTAAACATATATAAGTGTGATGACTTGTGCCAAAAAAAACTATAAATCTCTGATTAATAATTTTTATAAATTTCATTGAGAAATACTGTATATAGTTATGATATATTGTGAAAAATATATTGTAAATATAATAAACAGAAAATTTTCAATTTAGATAAAGTTATAATACATTTATATAATTGTATAAGAATTTTGTTTATTTGACACAATTTACTGACAACTTTATTGACATTAATGAAAATTTATAAAAATTTGAAATTTTCTATCAAAATCTAAAGTAATATAATTTTTAATTTTTATGAAGTGTTTGAAACAATAGTTTTGATTGAATCTTATTTAATTGATAACTTATTATTAACTATAATGGAAAGATATATGGATATAATAATAATTATATTATTTTTAACAATTATATCAATGATGTTATTAACAATATATTTTACGTCAAATGTCATACAATAGAAAGTTTATTAAAAGGTAGTATTAAAAAATTATTATTTAAAAATATCTCATAATATAATTGATAAATGCATATAATTGTTAACCGTTTTTATACATTTAAATACCTTCTAAAACTTTTCAAATATATATTGTTAATAATGACAGAGTATATAAAAAAAAGTATATTTTTTCACTTAAATTATATTATGATTGTTTGTAATTATTTAAATGTGCCTAAAATAATATAATCATATGATATATTATTATTTTATAACATTTAATAACATTATTTTTATTAAAAAAAATAACATGATCATATTATTGCAAATAGTATATCCATTGTTTTATGTAGATTACAAGTACTTGTAAATCTGTTAAATATTTTTATAAGTATATTAATTATTTTAATGTTTTACCCAAATGTGTATTTTTATAATGTTGTTAGTGTACTGGGGTGAGTGTTATCATAAGGAATACACTTAGGTTTACGTTTGCGATTTCCTTAAGTTAAGTATAGAGTAGCGTTACTACAAAATGTTTTGCTTTACGCAAACGTAACTCTTTTTTTGTAGTGATAATAATACAGTGTTTTATTAAATTTATAAGTATAAATATTTTAAACTATAAAATAAACATTACTATCAATGTTAAAGTATAGCTAAAGTTGGGTTAAAGCTATCCTAACTTTATACCTAACTCTAGCACTAACTTGTTTTCTTAACACACTTTTCACCTAAAAACCAGTTTTGTATACTTAAGTCCTCTCCTAACTTACCCGTAAACCTAACTTGCTAAAATGTTTAATAACACAGGATTTCACTTAAGTGAGGAGTTAAATGCACGCAAGTTACGAATCTTAGTTGATAACACGCCGCCCTGTACTTTACTATAATAGCTACCATACTATTTACAAATCGGATCACTTAATAAATTAAATATATGACTACTTATATGTATTTGATAAATCATTTTAATTATAAATGTACAGTTTGTGTCAATTAATGTTTAGCCAAATAATGTAATACAGTATACAGTAAACATTTCGATTTATGCAGTATAGGAAAGCACTGTTTATACTATGCTTATATGAAATCCACTAAAAGTTCATTAAAATAAACAAATTTATTAAATATTAAAAATATTATTTTCAAATTAACTAATATTATACTAATCTTTAATTTATCAATTATATTAATATTATATCAATTATAAAGATTATTTTAAGAAATAACATAAACATTAAAAATAATAATAACTAATCACTAATTAATTAATAAGGTTGTGCATCGTAATCAGGAAATAAAAATCAAATTAAATATAAATAACTAAATATAAATAATAACTAAATATAAATAATAACTAAATATAAATAATAACTAAATTTTAATAATAACTAAATTTTAAGAATAACTAAATATGTCTGAATTCTATCAACTAATTTTTTAACCAAATTATTCAATTTATTCAAATTAAAAAATAAAAATAATGTATAATTAGAAATAAAATAGTAATATTTTTTGTTATAATTAATAAATAATGGAATAATTTTATACTTTATTAATTTTTAGATTGCTACAAGTATTTAAAAATATTTGTTTATTAATATTTCATAAAAATATAATCATTACATACATTAACAAATACAAAGACAAAATGATTTATTTTATTAAGTAATTTTTCATATTAATTGTTTAAACTTCAAAAATTTAAAAATAATGTTATTATAAACTAATATCTTATAAATAATTTAACAAAATTTAACTAAAATTACAATATTTAAATTAAAAATAACGAATTATTAAAATTAATGTCTATAAATTTAATTATATTATAAGCATTAATGCGATAAAAGTAGTTAAAAAATACTGTTTTTATTTAATTTTATTAATTAAATTATTTTTATAATCTAGTTTTTAATGATTTCATAACTATTATTTTATGCATTTTTATAATTACACAGTTACTAAAATACATTACCTATAAATAAAAATTAAAATATTTTAAATAATTAGATCACATTTTTCAGTCAAATTTAATTTTAATATTTTAGTTAGAAAAGAATTATTTAAAATAATACTTAAAACAGATTTCAAAACAAATAACAAAATAAATATTAAGTGTTAATAATTTGCAGGATGATTATTAATTATTAATAATAAAGCTACATTAAATTTCCTGATAACGTTACACCAACCGTCAATTTTTTTGTTAATTTTTAATTGCATTAAATTATCAGAAAATTAAATATTTAAGACACTTTAATATTTATTTATTATATGGTGTAATAATAATTTAATTTTTGAAACAAATTAAGTTAATTAATTAATTAATATATTACTGTATTAGTTGTTAGGTTTTATTGTACCCACTCCTATACTGCATAAATAGAAATGTTTACTGTATATAATGAGTAATAATTTTAATATACTGTATAAATAATACAGTAATATTGTTATAAGAACTTGAATAAAAGTTAATTATAATTAAATGAATATATATACAATTTAGTTAAAATTAATAATAAATTGCATACTTTTAAGATACAAATTTTATTTTTAGTATTTTTTTATATTCATCATAAATTTACAATTTAAATAAGAAATATAATATTGTATAATTTAATATACAATAATAACTACAAACTGCAATTTATATCATAGTATATATACATTAGAGTAATAAACTAAAATATGTTATTATTACAATCTATTGATAATAAATTACAATTATTTATATTTTAAATACTTAATTATTAATAAGTTAAAATTATAAACATATTTATAAATATGTTAAATACTGTCAATAATGATTTCATTTTTTTATAAATTAAGAAAAAATATATATATATATTACCACAAAACACATTTGTTTTTGCGGTTCATCTGTGATTGTGGACTACATTTGTATACATCGGAAAATGTCTTAAAGTTAGACAGCGGGACATTTACCCGATATTTGGCCGGACTGTGCGGGTTATACTCAATCATGTTTTTAATATATTCTGTGCGGTATATTGAGCACCAGGTCTGCAATATTTAAGATATTATAAATAATATTATATTTAATAATTTTCTTTTTCGGCTATAAAATTTAAAAACAATTTAAATATAAATAACAATAAATATAAATACATTGGCGTATGAAATGAAAAATTGCTGTTCGGGTGTGTATTGGCTTATATGTGGCAATCGTTGCTGTTTTGGTTGTGTTTTAAGATACAGTTCATAAGCTCTGTACGATTCACGTATACCTCCGTTGTCGGCTATATTTTCACCGACAGTATTGTTGCCATTTAGCTAATAATTTTGGGATAAATAATTATTTAGTAAATATAAAAACTATAATATTTTAAAAAATAAATAAATGCCAATTACATGCATATGTGTTTGCGGTTCAACAAAATTGCTGTACTCATTGATAAAACAGTCGGCTTTTTTGTTGAACCGATCGTGAATTGTATCCGTCCACCAATCGACTAGATTTCCGTCGGCATCATATTGACTGCCTGTTAGTTACATATTATTATTATATCATTTGTAATATATATATATCTATATAATCACAAATAATTAGTTACTAGCCTTCATCATCAAACCCATGTGTCAATTCATGTCCCACTACCTGTTAAAATTAAAACTTATATTAATATATTTTGTTAGATTATTTTATATTTATAAAAATATTATTAATTTACTGATCCAATAGCGCCATAATTAATTTGAGCCGGTATGTTGATGTCAAAATATGGTGGAGTTAGTTGTCCAGCAGGTATTGCTATTATAAGTATTATTATTTAGTTTTTAATTATTAATAATTATTAATAATAATTATAAAAATAACTAACTGATAGAGTTTTGTGTCGGTTCATAGGCTGCGTTGACTATGTGTGGAGACATCGGCCAACTATTATAATATACAATTTTTTAAAATTATAAATTATGATATATTTTAATAAACTAATTAAAATATCAATAGATAAAAAACAATACCTTTTGTCGAGATTGACCGGTTGTCTCAGTGATGTATACTCTCTGAAAATGGCATTATTTTGTAAATACAAAATACTTTCAAAAAATTTCTTAAAATCGACCGATCGTTGCTAAAAATAAAAAAAACAACATCATAAATATCAATATTATGAATATATATTAGTTTGAATTTATTTTTAAAAAACAATTGATTAAACATTACTAAATTGTAATAATGATCCAATTCATTGTTATCAAGAATCCAATCGGGATAACCAACGTTACGGTGAATGGCATTCAATTTGGACAGCGATTTATTTTTAGTACTTTCATCCAACCAATCATTCATTTGAATTAAATTATTATATGAATCCTTTATATCTTTGATTATAAGCGATGACTAATTAGTCAACAAAAAATAAATATAAATTAATATAAATAATTTTAAAAAAATTAGGATTAACTAATATAACTCATTACAACCTTTTCCTTATCTTTTTTAGTAAAACTTTTATCGATATATACGCGACTAATAGCGTACTCTAAGCCGTTTGACAAATCATTTAAACAATATCTCCATAATTCCTGATCTTTGACGGCACCGGATATAAGTTGATTAAACTCGAAATTAATTTTCTTGAAAGCACTAGTAGTCCATGAGCCCAAACCAGACACTGCATACCAACCAAAGTAGTTGGCAATTACTTTTTTAGGTGTATTCTCAAGCAATTTGGTAATTGCTTTATAGTATTTAATATCTTGAACTATCACTAAATCATTTTTAGTGACACGTATTGTTGAATTAATTTTGGTGTAAATACTGTTTATTAGGTTAAGCCAATCGACACGTTTATCAGTCAATGTAATAAATTTTTCAAATGACATCCTATTATACCAGACACTGGAGTCTCGTTTCTCTTCCTGTGTTAATGTTTCCTATGTTTGTAAACATTATATTACAGTATATTTGTTTAAATAATATTTGTTTATCAATTTTTTTAGTAATATTTAGATATAAATTTGTATACATTTGCCAGCTTTGACTCAAATCTAACCATATCTTCAATGTCTTGTTGTGTTTGACTATTATTTTTACCGCCTAATAGTAGTGCCGCTTCAAGTATATATTTTTTGTATGCATTAACTATATCGGGATATGCACTGGTATTAACCAATTGGTTTCGACCCAAACCAAACGGTGCCGAATCAAACTATCAAAACATTAATTTATTAATTATCATATATTTTTATGTAACTATTAATAGTATATAAATAATTAATTAGTAATATTCTAGTGATATTCAACTACTACTACTACTACTACTACTACTACTACTACTACTACTACTACTACTACTAATAATAATAATAATAATAATAATAATAATAATAATAATAATAATAATATTATTATTATTATTATTATTATGTAATAACTAATAATAGAATATAAATTATTAACATTTCTTACATTAAATCTGTTAACTTTGGTATCGTTAGAGTCAGGCATAACATCGATTCCAAAAATAGGATGCGTTCCCAACACAGCTATCAGTGCTGAGAACGACTGTTTCCAATCGTAACTATCGGTGCCATGCGATGGACTGACTAAAGGCCATCCGCCGATCACATTGATAGCATTGATAAGAGGCGAAACTCCACGTGATTCACGCGTGACTAAAATTTGGTAAAAGTATATTTAAAACTAAAAGTACATTTAGTATTTTAAGTACATATTACATGTGTGTATATACAGTATATAGGAAACACATGATTTGATAAGACATACCGTTATCAATGCAACATTTGAACAGATCTGATGCATATCTAACAGTCATCGGATCATTGATAGACTTTGTTTGACTAAGCGATGCCTTAATTGTCTGATCGATGGTCTCCTGTAGGGCCACATCACCAAAATAAAAGGGTTTATCTTCGGGTATGGTATGTGTTGTCTTCCATCCGCCGCAAGCAAACTCATAGAAATCATTGCACGGATCGACCGAAACGTTTAGGTTAGCCTTCAATGCCTTACCGGCCAAATCACAAGCACCGGTAGTACAGACATCAGAATCTTTTAATTGTTTATACAATTTCCTTGTTCTCTGTATTTCATTTGTTAATATATTTTGCACCGATAGTGACACATTCAATGTCCATAATATAATTGCCAATAATACAAAATTGACTCTAAATATTAGTAATAAAAAAGAATATAAACTTATATTTCAAATACCGGTAGATTATATTTTTATAATATTAATATTTATTATCATAATTTATAATACTATCTAATATAGTTTACAATAAGTTATATTTAAACATTTCACTTTTATATATTATGATACATAGTATAATTTATAGTATAATTGCTATTGTTAATATAAATTGTTAACAAACTTACCTCATATTTTATAAAATTATATACTGTATAATATTGTATTAAATATATCAGTATCACTAAATAAAGTTTGTATAAATCAAAATAATTGAACACAATTTAATTTATAATAATTGTAGATAAATATAAAAATAATATAATTAATCACATAATGATATATATATATATATATATATTGATGCAAATGAACTAAAATTATGTCATATCGTTGTCGAAGCTTTCGAGGAATTGATATTTTTTAATAAAAAAATACAGTATTTTATGTTTGTTTTTATCAATAGCACTTTAGTTACATTATATTTATATTACATAAAAAATTTTTATTGATAATATTGCTAAAACATTTTATCGTTTATTGTCTAATACTTAGATTATTAAATATTTATAAGTTAAATAAATTGTTGATAAAAAAATAAACTTACATTATATACAAATATAATGTTTACACAATACTGTATACAAGAATTTTTAGTTGTGATAAAACTCTGTAGTCTCTAAAAGTCTTGTAATTCAAGTTAAGTCAATAATCATTAATGAAAAATATCTCATAAAATATTAATATAAATCATTTGCTTTAGAAAATAGTAATTTCATTTTTATTATTCATTATGACAACAGATAAAGTGTATAATCAAAGGTAAAATAAAGTTATTATAAAATGTAGTCATTTATAGTCATAGTATTGTAGAAATGTATTAAAATTTTATAAATTATTTACAAAATAAATAATAATTTATTAATAAGTACTGTTTAAATGAACTTTTGTTTTTTGTCATTAAGTATTTTATGTGATTATATGATATGATATTATAATTATATTAACATTTTATACAAACTTATTTTTTATTAAAAACAGTTTGATCTAAATTTTATTAAATGATTTTTAATGTTTAATAATAAAATTATTAAAAAACTATTAAAAATAATAAATCAAAATGTATATAATTTTAGTCACAATACAGAATTTAAAATTTAAATGATAAGTGAATTTAGTATTAGACTTTAAAAATATTTTTATAAACCCTTGATTTTAAATTAATAAACTAATTTCAAATTCATATCATACTATTAAAATATAATTTATATGATTGAACAAATTACAATTGATATCAAAATATAAAAAAAATTAATATTATATTAATCTCATTTTTCTTTGATTTAATCTATTTCTATACGCATAAAATGCAAACAATGCGCCAATTATTAACAGCATAACAATTATACTTAAAACTATGGTATAAACCACTGGTAAACCATTATTTAACTCATTACTGGCTTTACATTGGGATCTAATCGGTCGATATATTTGTTCAACATTTGGATAACCAATAACTTCTTTGATTTGTTTAGCCGTATCTGTTGGTATCATATGGCACTCGACATTGTGTTTGCCTCCAGTCATCAAATGTTGACTTTTATTAACATCCATTACATCCCAGTTCTGTTTGTTTAACAAATACTCCATAACTTGAGAGTCAGAAGTGGATTCAGACATATTAGCCATTGATTTGATGGACTGTCGTGTGGGTCCACTCAGACAAAAATTTTGTTTATTCATTCGGGGATAATAATAGAGAAATGCTAAACACATTTCATCAGTTGTAGCCAAACCTCCCTATTATCCAATTTTAAGACAACAAACATAATAAACAAATAAAATTAATTAAATGTAAGAATAAAATCATTATATATATTATACTAACAAAAGTAGTCCTATTTTTATAACTTGAATCAAAAACACATTCAACAGTTAACTGATCGCCCGGTTTAATGATAACCATTTGGTGCAACAAACGAAATGGTTGTAAATTGTAATCAAAATTATCATCAAATGTTATCCACGGAAGCTCTTGATTGCCTCTGAAATGTCTGACTCGTATTCGTCGGGCTTTAATATATTAATTATTTTGAAATTAATAAATGATTAAAACATTTTAGCACACAATTTAAAATTTTGTAGTTTACATAAAAATTAAAATAATATACGACACTTTTAATAGTAAAAAAACATATATATTAGAGTAGTATATAATATGTATTACCCAAATAATGTGAATGTAGTAAAGCGCCAAACACTTTGAGACCCGATTCAGGAATCTGTAAAATTACAATTACTTACATTATTAAAAATATTTTAAATTATATGATATATTAAATACCTCATCAAAACACATTGATGTGTGACAGTGTGCGGCAACTGTAAACTCGGGTAAATGTGGCGGAATAAATACCCGGTAATCTACAACCGAACCCAAACTTATCTCAAAAGCTTCATATTTACGATACTGTTTAGTATAGAGCAGCTCAAAGCCAGACGAGTCGATGGCAGTCAATCCTTCGGGATTATCGTAATGAATGTTAAGCATAAGATAAGTTGTGGACAGTTGGTCACCAAACGGAAAGGCAATGTCTTTGGGTGCATAATAGTAGTCTTTGCCAACAGCAGTTAGATATGGGTTAAAACAATGAGCGTAATCTACAGGCATATCTGTACAGTCAATGCCTTCAGATAGTAAATGCTGATCAAAAGTTTGATAGTTTGGATGAAAACATGCCATAAGAGACATATGATGTACCAGTGGCTCATTACCAGGCGTTATGATAGACCGATACTGATGTTAAAAAAAAAATTAATTTTAAATATCATTATTATATAAATGAAAAAATCTTAGGCTCGTACTTTCACTTAACTAATGGTACGAATTGTAAGATATAATATTATAGGAAATGTATTTTTATTTTTTGCTATACAATATCAGATCTTGCAATGACTTAAAAAAACATAATACCATTAATAGTATCGAACTTAGGATCTCGAGATAGACTATACTGTTTGATACACACGTGTCTGTAGTTTATTAATAAATAGATAATCATACCTGAACTACATGGATGTGCTCAGCCGGTAGTTTAAATATTTTGCACCAATAGCTAGTTTCACTAATGGGAACTGTCAACTAAAAAAATAATATAATTAAATATATTATAAAATTGTTGTTAATTTCAAAAATTAATTTTAATATATTATATACATTATTGACATTAAAGATATAACTTTTCAAATCAGTTTCTTGTGGTCTGTTATTCGGTTTATTAGAATTAGTTAAAAGCATAATATTTTTGGATCCCCTTTGATGTGATGAATGTATTTTTAGGTCAGTATCTGATTGTGGATCTGAATCACTGTAAGCATAGATAAGACGTGTTGTGTCGCGAGTAATGTCTCTGTCATTGTTGTGATCGCATGTAATGAGCGGTCGTTGAAAATGAATGACAGTATGTGTAGAGTTTTGTTTGGATGATATGAGATACCAGTCCTGACTTTCATCTATTTGTGGCACAGATTCCCCAGAAGCAAACCGATCCTTAAGTATATAACAAAAATATTATATATATAGTTATAAAACTAAACTATATTATAAATAAAGTTATTAATATTGAATATACATGAAAATGTGTGATTCCTGTATTATCGTCAATCCATGCAATAATAATATCACTTGATTTCATCCCACCATTAGGTGAGAGACCCAAACCTATCCAACCAGTTGTGCGAACTTCACATAAAAAGTCAATACTTTGATTGTCGGCATTGACTGTCCATTTAAGACTGTATTTCTCGTACGGATCTAACCATATATTATGAGTCCATATGTTTTGGTTAATTGATTGCAACGATTTACAAAAAATAATTAAAATAATTAAATTAAACCAAATATATGTCATTATTTAATTGTTTAAAACTAATTTTATTAAAAAAAAAAATTATGTTAACTTAATAAATGAAACATATTAATGACATTGAATTTTGTTTCATTTTTTATTTGTTTAAATATATACAAATTTTATTGAATGTATTATCTATTTTTGTATATTATACAGCAGTAGTAATTAAATTTTATTAATTAACTCTTATGTTTGTCTAATTTAAAAAGTTTTTTCAAGTGAAAGGGTTAATTATTAAATAATAAAAATAATATTTTTTTGTTTATGTTTAAGAATAATTTATTATTTTATTTATATTACTTATCAAATAAAAATTATTTTTATTAGATATTAATTTTTAATTAAATAAATATTATTTATATACACTAGAAAAAATCTGTATAAATCTATGGTGTTTGTAAGCTGTAACTATGGCAATGTAACATAATATAAGGACTATGTTTGTGGAAAGAATAGCTTTAGCCAATGAGCGTCGAGTATAGTTGGCGCTCAAGCCTGGGATCAGGGAATAAGTAAAAAAAATCTCGAAAACTTTAGTAGATTTTGGAAATAAAGAAATTTAGTGTCTTGATACAGTAGCGACACCTGGAAATTGGATATAGACTACTGATGCAGTGTAAGAGACGTCAGAGGGACTTAGATTCGGACAGGGGATCAGAGAACTATTAGTACTGATAGTAAAAATAAAATTTATAAAAAGTTTTGTTGAAATAAAGTTTCTGACGACTAGTTTGCCATCTATTATTGGGGATAAAACTAAATTTGCACTGTTTGTGTTCATAGATGGCAGTGGTGATGGCGCACTAGCAGAATGTTTGACAAGTATTTTATTATCTAAATGTTAAGTCGAATGAGTGTACGTCAATCTAATAGATGGCTCTGAGTATAGAGTTACAATAAATGTAGTCTATATACTATGGTTAACCAATAGTACTACAGTAAACTAACAATTGTTATCATTTACTGCGCAGTTATAGTTCATTTATGAATGACAAACAGACAGTGACTAATAGAAGATCGCTTGTCATCATCACCAACGACATCTCCACCGACATTAGACAACAGTAGTAAAAGTAGTTCTGAAGAGGATAAATCCGAGTGCCTAGCATCGGAAGCAACAACTTATTAGTGTTTGTCACAATGGATTCATTGCAAAAATTGATTGACAAGTCAGGTGTTGAATCTACAAATATAACGGCCATACAAGCGTCACCATTATCGGCACGAAAGATATGAAAGAAATGATAGTATAATGTATGGTAAGCAACTTTATATTCTGTCGGTAACGTTTGTCTACAATAACATTTTATTAAATCCAAAGAATATGTTTTTTGTTTTGAAAAGTAAGAAAAAACTTTCTTTTGTTTTTTAGTTTTTTTATGTAAGCACCGTTAAATAACAGTGTTTTTAAAACAAGTTAATTACATCTAATTATAGTTATTAGATAACATAAAAACTCGTACTAAAAAATGTATTCAATAATTAATTATAGCTAATATTGATGCATATAAACTATATAAAATATTTTTTTGAACTTTAATAAGTATTATTAATGTGATTTGAACTCATAGTTTATTTTTTTTGCCATATAACGCGATTAAATATGACTAATGTGTTAAATAATAACTGTTATAGTGCTATTGTGTGCATAGTGTGACCGCATGTTTTTTTTGGTTTTTTAAGTTGTTATATACATCACATAATCAGAATAATCACATTATGGTACAGTATATGATAACTTGTGGTTACCGAAACGTACCAAAATGAAGGCTTAGTTTCAATTAGTAATCAAAAAGTTGACAATCAAGTAGTTTCACAAACTATTTCGCTAAATCAGTTACATCACCACCAGGTTAGTAACTAAAATAAAAAAATGTAATATAATATTACTAAAATTTAATCATACATTAATTTTATGACTACATTTAGCCAATGGTAAGACAGGTGTATTTGGTTTTCAAACCGATAATTCATTCACACTTTATGTTAATAGTATACTGGCATCAGACTGGGAGTTGCCGAAATTCTTGTTAGTCGGCCTTCAGTCACATGAAAGGCTTGAAGAATTTGTTTAACAACAGTGAACCTTCCGAATACGATCAGTCGCTCCCGGCAACAACTAGTGCTGTAATACAACAGTATCATATATAACAAATTTTTTAACAAATAAGTTTTTATCAATAACTAAAATCTCTTTATATTTGAACTGCTTAGCACAATACAGGCTTTGACACGCTTTGCAAACAAAAGACAAAATTTTGCATTCTAACCCATATGAGTAAATAATTAGAATTACTGTGGAACCGATTTCTATCGATGAAAGACGAATTGATTGCCGAAAGACCTCGAAAAAATAATTGATAGCTTAACGAAAGGTATAGGTTTACAGAACTATGATTTTGCGTACTCATCAAACGGTAATATTTTTATTTATAGTTAAATCAAAAATTATAAAATATATAACATTTAACTAATTAACTATTATCCATTCCCGACAGCCGTGTATTGTTTGACAAAAACGAGTCGCAAACTATTGGAACAACCATTGGAACGACAAGACATTCGAAAACTTTCGGCCGCAGGTTTTCTGTCATCAGATATTTACCTGATTTTCGATGTTCAGTATTTGGCACAACTAAACACTTCAATGATGACCAATATTTTTACCGCCTAGTTTACCTAACGATATACGAACCAAAACTTATATTGCTTCGTGTAGTTGCTTAACAGACCCATTGGCACTGGCCATTAATTATCATTACTTCAGTGGAACCGACTACAATCCGGCCACTCGACTATTTTGGAGAGCAATCGAAGTGCTTACGATTGATTGGATTGCGGACGACTTAGAGGCGGATGACTATGCGTTTATCAAACGCTTTATTTCATAAAATTGACAAATTTTTCTATTTTTTTAAATACTTCATTTAAATATATTGTTTATTTATTCATGTAATCTTTATTAACCTATATTTTAGATTTTTTCAACAATAATTTAGAATCATAATTTGAATATCTGTTTTTTAAATATTTAATTTATTAGTTATTTTTTTTATATAATATCAAATAATTTAGTGTTTTTTCATTGTCATTATCTAATAATTTATAATAAAAATTTGTATTTCTTTTGTTTTTTTGCAATCGGTTATAATACCGACAATAAAATTACGTGTGTATTTTTGAATACTGATAAAACTCGAGAAACTTTATTTCTAGAAATTTTATTACGATCAATCAATAACGTCTTGAAAAAGGGGTAGAGACGTAGTTTATGGAAGGTACCGTCGTTCCAGTCACCCGTCGGGTGAATTCTGGTCACAAGTAAAAATAGTTCTAGCCAAATTCGACTCGAGTTTGCGGTACTTAGAAGTATTTGATCTAGTCGTAGTGAGGACTGACAGATTTTTTCGTTGTCAGCAAATCAAAGTACATATAGTTTTTATTAAATTGTCAGATTTGCTGTCTGACAACGACCAATCAGCGACGAGCAAAAAGGGTCACGAATTATGGCTGAGAGCTCTATTTTTTGAATGCGCCCTCAATGAATTTGTAAATAGGCTCCTCCCATACAGCAAGATTTTATTTCTAGTGATATCTAATTATGTTTATTCAAAAAATCAATAAATTTGTTTCAATAATATTTAGATAATACCAATGAAAAATTAAAATAAATATTTATGTTGTTTATTATAGGAAAAAAACATTAATTAATTGGTTATTAAATTAGTAAATTTATAAATTAAAAACAATGAGCCCATTATAGTATAGTACAATTGATATCTGGATAATGATTTTTGATTAAAATGCACTAACGAAGCTTATGGTTTACTAAAATATATTTGATCTAGCTCAAATATATAGCTCAAATTTTAATTTTCAATTTTAATTAAGTACTATATGTAATTTAATATTACATAAAATTGCTTATTTAATTTGTGTATTATTAACTTTTTGTTTTTTATATTGGTTGTTAATTACGTTTTTTTAAATAAGGGACCGTCTAATAATCTGATAACGCCTATACAGTGATTAACAATTTATTATTACAATTTATACAGTCACTAATTTTATTTGAAAATATTGAACTTAACTTGTCGTTAAAATAATACACTAAAAAATTATTATTCACATAAATATTATAATAGTTTCAAATTAGAAATATATAATTAAACATTTATAGTAATAAGATTTTGACTAAAATTACACTATAAAAGCTAAAAATTGTTTTACAGGCAATTAATATCTAAGGCTCATAATAACTATTTATTTTGTATACTGTATTTTGTATGTGTAAATACTGTATATGTAATACAAATAATAAATAGATTTGTAATACATATTTTGTAATAAATTTATAAATTTTGTATACATATTAGTATATAAATTTAAAATACAAGGTTTTGAATTTTGATTTTGTATAATATAGTAAATATTTACTATATTATACAAAATCAAAATTCAAAACCTTGTATTTTAATTTTATAAATTAAAAAATATTTTATTTGCAAGAGTTATAACAATTATTGTAAGTTATAATAAGAGAGTATTTTAAATTTTTATGTAACTCTACTTTAAAACTTTTACAAAATTTATTTAACAATTAATTTGATAAAAATAAGAATAAATTACTATAAAAGTTTAGTTTAACAATATATGCGAATTTCATTTAAACTCATTTGTATATTAATCTCATTTTTCTTTGATTTAATCTATTTCTATACGCATAAAATGCAAACAATACGCCAATTATTAACAGCATAACAATTATACTTAAAACTATGGTATAAACCACTGGTAAACCATTATTTAACTCATTACTGGCTTTACATTGGGATCTAATCGGTTGATATATTTGTTCAACATTTGGATACCCAATAACTTCTTTGATTTGTTTAGCCGTATCTGTTGGTATCAAATGACACTCGAGATTGTGTTTGACTCCAGTCATCAAATGTTGACTTTTATTAACATCCATTACATCCCAGTTCTGTTTGTTTAGCAAATACTCCATAACTTGCGAGTCAGAAGCGGATTCAGATATATTAGCCATTGTTTTGATGGACTGTCGTGTGGGTCCACTCAGACAAAAATTTTGTTTATTCATTCGGGGATAATAATAGAGAAATGCTAAACACATTTCATCAGTTGCAGCCAAACCTCCCTTTCCATTGTCAGACAAAAACAATAATTAAAATTAATTAATTGTATGAACAAAATCATTAAATACATTATAGTATACTATTAGTTAACTAACAAAAGTAGTCTTATTTTTATAACGCGACTCAAAAACACATTCAACTGTTAACTGATCCCCGGGTTTAATGATAACCATTGGTTCTAACAAACGAAACGTTTGTAAATTGTAATCAAAATTATCTTCAGATGCAATCCATGGCAGCTCTTGATTGCCTCTGAAATGTCTGACTCGTATTTGTCGGGCTTTAATATAGTAATTAATTACAAACAATAGACGATTAAAACCTTTTAGTATATATTTTTACATTAAAAAATAACTGTAAAAGTAAAAATCAATTTTGTTGAAAAATTTAAAAAATCAGATAATTTATGACTGTTTTATAGTGATTTTGGGATTATATTTTTATAGAGTTATTAAGGTATTATATAATAAGTATTACCCAAATAATGTGAATGTAATAAAACGCCAAACACTTTAATACCCGACTCAGGAATCTATAAAATTTCAATAACTGTTAATATATATTGCATTACCGTATAAGAAACGACGGTTTTTTAGTGCAAAAAGTAATATTGTTTTAAACTGTATAAAGCATTTATACAAATTGGTTTTAATGCAAATATAAACATTGATTGTCTAACAAGTGTAAGTGTTTTTTAAATATTTCAAACTAATTTATTTTTAAACATCAAATAATAAACAATGTTTCACATAAAAACTTCTCTATACAATAAAATGATTGCCAGAGCTTAATAATCTTTATCACAAAGCTATCATTAAGTAGTGCTTTTAGAAATTGATTTAAATTTTCAAAAATTTATATGATTTTAAAAAAAACAAATGTTAAAAAGTCAAAACAAAATTCTGGCAAATTTAGACGTAAAAATAAAAAACTATAGGTTGTGTGTGTTTGTTGATAATTATATTGATAATCAATGCATTTCTATTTGCCGTTTAATACTAACATTATTTTTTGTACTTTAAACCCGCCTTTCTTGTTGTATCACTAAATATTTTAATTATTATTATGTATTAAACCTCATCAAAACACATCCCTGTGTGACAGTGTGCTGCAACTGTAAAATCGGGTAAATGTGGCGGAATAAATACCCGGTAATCCATAACCGAACCCAAACTTATCTCAAAAGCCTCATATTTACGATACTGTTTAGTATAGATCAGCTCTAAACCAGACGAGTCGATGGCAGTCAATCCTTCGGGATTGTTGTAATGAATGTTAAGTACGATATAAGTTGTGGATAATTGGTCACCAAATGGAAAGGCAATGTCTTTGGGTGCATAATAGTAGTCATTGCCAATAGTGGTTAGATATGGGTTAAAACAATGAGCGTAATCTACAGGCATATCTGCTGTACAGTCAATGCCTTCAGATAGTAAATGCTGATCAAACGTTTGATAGTTTGGATGAAAACATGCCATAACCGACATATGATGTACCAGTGGCTCATTGCCAGGCGTTATGATAGACCGATACTGATGTTAAAAAAATTAATTTTAAATTTAAATATTAGTTAATCACACCTTAACAACATGGATGTGCTCATCCGGTAGTTTATACATTTTGCACCAAAAGCTCGTCTCCTTAATGGGAATTGTCAACTAAAAAAAATAATATAATTAAATATATTATAAAATTGTTGTTAATTTCAAAAATTAATTTTAATATATTATATACATTATTGACATTAAAGATATAACTTTTCAAATCAGTTTCTTGTGGTCTGTTATTCGGTTTATTAGAATTAGTTAAAAGCATAATATTTTTGGATCCCCTTTGATGTGATGAATGCATTTTTAGGTCAGTATCTGATTGTGGATCTGAATCACTGTAAGCATAGATAAGACGTGTTGTGTCGCGAATAATGTCTCTGTCATTGTTGTGATCGCATGTAATGAGTGGTCGTTGAAAATGAATGACAGTATGTGTAGAGTTTTGTTTGGATGATATGAGATACCAGTCCTGACTTTCATCTATTTGTGGCACAGATTCCCCAGAAGCAAACCGATCCTTAAGTATATAACAAAAATATTATATATATAGTTATAAAACTAAACTATATTATAAATAAAGTTATTAATATTGAATATACATGAAAATGTGTGATTCCTGTATTATCGTCAATCCATGCAATAATAATATCACTTGATTTCATCCCACCATTAGGTGAGAGACCTAAACCTATCCAACCAGTTGTGCGAACTTCACATAAAAAGTCAATACTTTGATTGTCGGCATTGACTGTCCATTTAAGACTGTATTTCTCGTACGGATCTAACCATATATTATGAGTCCATATGTTTTGGTTAATTGATTGCAACGATTTACAAAAAATAATTAAAATAATTAAATTAAACCAAATATATGCCATTATTTAATATTGTAAAATTAATTTAATTTTAAAAAATAAATTTTGAATATTAAATTAATTAAATGAAACATGAATGACATTGAATTTTGTTTCATTTTTTATTTGTTTAAATATACATAAATATTATTTAATGCATCAGATATATACAGAATTATCTATTATATTATATATCAGTATTAATTAAATTTTATTAATTAACTTTAATTTTTGTCTAATAAGAAAAGTTTGATTAATGAAATGCTTGATTATTAAATAATATATTATTTTGTTTGATTTTTTAGTTATTTAGATATTAGATAACCTTGATTTAATGCATGTGATACATACAAACCCATGACGTTAATTAAATAGCATAGATTAAATTATGGTGACTAAATATTCTATATTTCTAATCTAATTTGTGCATCGTCAATTTACATAAATGTCTAAATTATTGAACCATTAAAATCAATATTAAAAATATATCAATTGTAAATAAGAAATTAATAATTAATAATATTAAAAATATTTATTAAATCACAAATATTGAATATATATAATATTTTATATGTTAAATATAAGTATTCGGCTTAATTACACACTTGATTATACTGTACATTAGAATAACATTATAATAAGGTGTTTTAATGCAAACTTAATGCTTATTATTATTATTATATTAGTAGTAGTAGTAGTAGTAGTAGTAGTAGTAGTAGTAGTAGTAATAAAATTATATATTTATTATAATTTATAGCAATGTATTATTACGTCCATTATTTGTAGGTTCCTCTCGATGTCTGTAACTAAAAATAATGGCCAGTATTATAGCCGTCACTACAGATGCGATGGCAAACATAATGACAATAAAGGAATGTTGAGTAAAGTTGTCATCTGTTTCGGCACTTTTAGTAATACGACACTCCCTTTCTGTTGGTCTATAAACGTGTTGTATATTTGGATACCCAATGGTTCCGACAAATTCATTGCCTGTCTTAATCCAGAAGCATTCAAGTTGTTGAGTAATATTTAACATTATATCGTATGAGTTGTCGAGTAGTGTCTGATTCCAGTCTTGTTTACGACTTATATATTGTTGTAAATTCAAACCAATTTTTTCATTAACACTGTTGTCGCTGTCAAATGATATATCAGCTAAAGTTTGAATGTTTTGATTGGTTAGTCCACTGAAACAGGGCTTAGACGGAGTCATTTTGGGATAATAGTATAGAAATGCGGCACACATTTCATCACTAGTACCGTACCCACCCTTATAAATATTATGATAACATATTTAATTTAATAGATATCTAAATTTATTTGAAATTTAATTACCATAACTGTCTTGTTTTTAGTACTCGAGTCGTACTCACACTCGACAGTCAACTGGTCGCCCATTTTAATGATAACCATTGGATCTAATGTCCGAAAAGATTGCAAATTGAAGTCATAGTTTGAGTCAAACTCAAGCCACGGTAGCTCCTCATCACCTCTAAAGTGACGCACCTTTACTTTTGTGGCTATTTTTTAAACATAATAAATCATAAAATTGTTTTTGAGTTATGTTTACAATTATATAAATTTTATATAATTATTATAATATATATATATACAGTATATATATATTATTACCCAAAAGATGTGCGTGTGGCCAAACAGCAAACACTTTAAGTCCATTTGGATCCAAAACCTATGAAAAAATTAATAAATAAAATATTTTTATTTTAATGTTAATATAAAATTTTTACTATTATGGCTACCTTTTCAAAACATTTTGTATGGCAATGACCTGACATATGAAATTGTTTTTGTTTTGGCGGAACAAATAGTCGATTATCAAGAGCTGATCCAAAACTCAAAGTGTGTGCTTCATATTTACGCAATTTTTGTGTCAAATATATCTCCAAACCTGACGAGTCTTGGCGTCCAACAACTTGATCGGGATTATCGTAATGTATATTAAGCATCAAATACGTGATATCACTGCTCTGTCCCATAGGAAAGCCCACATCGGGCGGCAAATTATATGTCCCGCCGCCCACAGCCCACATAAGAAGTGGAGTAAAACAGTGGTTAAAGTCTTGAGGCATACTTTTACTGTCCGTACAGTCTGATCCTTCATTATCAATAAATTTGTCCAAAAGAGTAGGATTTGGATGAAAACATGTGTATATAGACATGTGATGAACAAACGGCTCATTACCCGATGTTATGTAAGGTTTAAACTGATTTAAAAGTATAAATAAATATTTTAAAAATATTTAAATACCGGTACTATAAATACAGTACTTTGATGACATGTCCATCAATTGTAGAAAATTTGACAATTTTACACCAATATGTTGTCTCTTTTTTATCAATTGTTATCTTAATTAATAAATATATAAATATTATTACTTTAAGTAAAGTTATAGTATATACTGTATATAAATATTATAGATAACTAATAAAATAAAAATAAATAATACATTTTTGACATTTATTATTAAAGGATTTTGAATATTCCTATTATTTAATTCATGAACCATAGGTTCATATTTTTGTGTCGAGGGATCTGTTAGTAAAAGTACACTTTTGGATCCCCTTTGATGTGATGAATGCATTTTTAGGTCAGTATCTGATTGTGGATCTGAATCACTGTAAGCATAGATAAGACGTGTTGTGTCGCGAGTAATGTCTCTGTCATTGTTGTGATCGCATGTAATGAGCGGTCGTTGAAAATGAATGACAGTATGTGTAGAGTTTTGTTTGGATGATATGAGATACCAGTCCTGACTTTCATCTATTTGTGGCACAGATTCTCCAGAAGCAAACCGATCCTTAAGTATATAACAAAAATATAATATATATATATATAAAACAAAATTATATTATAAATAAAGTTATTAATATTGAATATACATGAAAATGTGTGATTCCTGTATTATCGTCAATCCATGCAATAATAATATCACTTGATTTCATCCCACCATTAGGTGAGAGACCTAAACCTATCCAACCAGTTGTGCGAACTTCACATAAAAAGTCAATACTTTGATTGTCAGCATTTACTGTCCATTTAAGACTGTATTTCTCGTACGGATCTAACCATATATTATGAGTCCATAAAATATTATTATTTGCAGACACGATAGATATTACTATTATTAAACAATAGAATATAATAAAAATTAAATGTTTATACATTTTATTATATAATTAAAATAGTGAACATAAAAACTAATTAATGTAAAAAGTATTTAATTAATATAATATTTATATTAAAAATATTAATTTATATAAGTATAAGTCATTAACTTATCATAAGATGTTTATATAAATACTTATCAATGTTTATATTTATAATATAGTAATTAAATTGGCATATGTTTAGCAACTCTAATAATTTTTAATAATTAAATTTTATAAAAATTTAAAAATTGCTTTCAATAATTTTGTTTTTGATGACCTTGAAATTATTTAAAATAATATTAGTATCAATTATTTTATAATTAGCAAAATTAATTACGACTAAACTATTTTTTTTAAATTACTAATTATTTATTATTAGTAATAATAATTAAATACTAATTAAAATAATTACTAAATTGGAACAAATTGTATTTTAATAATAAAATAAAAAACTATTTATATATTTTTGTTTATTAATTAACATATCAGTTATGCGTGTGTGGTGTAAGGCATCTTACCCCATAAGATCTAGATTTTTAGATATTACCCCCCTCTGGCCTAAAGCCAAAATATAAATTTAATATTAAAATTAAAAAATACTAAATGAGATTTAATATAAATAAATAGCTTATCATTACAAAATAAATAATTAAAAACTTGTTAAATACTGAAAAATATAATTAAATACATCATTTATTCATGATTTAGTATCATTATTCACATTATTTGCAGTAAATATATGGAACAAAACCGTAAAAAATTAATTATTTTTATATTTAAACTTAAAAAATAAAAATTAATTAATTTATTAACTTTATTAATAAGAAAGCATAAGTTGTGTTAAACATGTGAATGCAATCAATGAGTAAAAATTATATTATTCAGTTGTATTAGTTATTAAGTTAGAAAACAAAATTAAAAGTTTATTTTTACCATTTTTTGTTAATTTGTAATACAATTATAAATTCTAATCAATTAATTCAATTAAAGATTAAAATAAATTACAATTCATTAATTATAGTTTTTACCCTAAAAATGACTATTATTTGAAAAGTAAATAAATAATTATATTTATAATTAGAAAACTTAATTAAATATAAATTACTACTGATTCTCATAAAATACAAACAAAAAATTAATTATTGATTTTGAAAACTAATATTTATTGCAAAAAAAACTAATTTGATGTCAAAATGACAATTAATTTACCAAAGAATACATTTGTTCTTTGGATTCATTTGTTGACCGGTTTTACAATTGAATGCTTCGGCGAACTCTCTAGAGTTGGACACCGAACCCAATACCCGGTATTTGTTAGGACTGTGTTCGTTGTATTCAATTTGATTAATTAGGGCTTCATTTCTAATATTTGTACACCATATCTATAAAAATAATTTAATTTAAAAAACATAAAATAATAAAATTAAATCTAAAATAATTAATTGATTTGTTTTGAACAATACATTAGCAAATGATAGGAAAAATAGTTGTTTCGGTGTAAATGATTTCATAGTTGCCGGCAGTCGTTGATTAGGACCGGTATGCTTTTCCAGTGCCTATGATTTGATTAAATCGATATTTTGTTTTTCATTATAACTATAATAAATACAGTACTTTACTGTATTGTAATTGTACTATAAATTGTAATGTTATATTTCTAAGATAATTATAACTATTATATTATAAATATGTGAATTTATATGCAATTATTGGTCACTGACTTTAAATGCTTGTCTAATCCCCCCGTTATCAGCAATATTTTCTCCATTAGTTGTACGACCGTTAATCTGATAATTAATTAACAAAATTAGCTATAATTTATAATTAATTTAAAATATATAAAATAAAAACATACATGCATTTGAACCTCTGGTGAGTAGTAATTGCTGTATTGATGAATAAAACATTTAACTCTTTCGTTAAACCGTTGCTTAGTTGTTGTGTCCCACCAGTTGTACAAATTGCCAAACTTGTCATATTGAGCACCTGTATGTCACAATTTATATTAATCAATAATATATATAAATATATACAGTATATATATATATTAATTAAAAATGTTGTTTAACAATATATTTAAACATCACTCACCATTGTAATCAAATGCATGTGTAATTTCATGTCCAATAACCTAATTAAACATAATACTGTATTAAATTTTCTAATATTATAGTATACCTAATATTTTTTATTTTTTATAATACCGATCCTATTGCTCCAATATTTAGTGAACTATTATAAAAAATGCTAATTAATTAAAAACTCTAATTATAACTAATAATTGACATACAATGGCAGTTCATAAGTATAAAATGGTGACTGAAGTATACCAGCGAGAAATGCTTTTTAGTTTTGATTAATATAATAAAAAGTATAATTATTTTTATATTAATAATTGAAATAATTATAACTAAAAATACTGCTTACTAATCCTATTAATATCTGGACTATAATATGCATTAATTTCAGTTGGACTCATTGACCATCTAATATTAAATGAAATATAATTTTAAAAACAGTTATCATTATATTTGTATTTAATTATTTTACATTAAAATTTATTAAAATATATAATAATTATTAATATTTACTCAATTTCTGAACGATTTTTATTATTCTCAGATAACTTTATCCACATTTTTTTAGTCGACCAAAAATCATAATTAATAATTGATTGTAAATAAGATTTTTTAACATCAATTATCAACTATAATACATGTATATAAAAAACAATATTCATTAATTTAGTGTTGGTATAAAATTTAGTTAAAATATTATATATTTATACAATAAACTGTATTATAAAATAGATAAAATACTGTATAAAGAATGTAATAATTTATGAAAAAATAATATTTACTTCTTTGTAATAATCAGAAAGTTTGTTATTATCTTTAATGAAATCCGGATAAGCAATATATCTTAACATTTCCTTTAACTGGATTAATAAAAATTATATTTTTTTCTTTATCGAAAATTTTAGTCATTTATACCTTATCTTTAGCTTTATTTTTAGTCATAATTTCCATCCAATCGTTACTATCAAATGACTCATTGAATGCCTCATTCAATGCATCGATGAGTAAATTAATATCTTGTTTGGCTTTTTCAGGAAAATAGTTGTCCGCATATAGTCGTCCCACTGAATACATTAGTTTTTTGCTAACATTATCCACACATACCTCCCAAAGTTGCATTGACTCCTGTTGTCCGGTCATATGTTTTGTGAACTGAAACTCCAAATCCCGAAACTCTTGTGATGTATAACCACCTAATGATTGGACAGTTCGCCACCAAAGATAATTGCCGATAGTTCTGGTGTTATAATTGCAATATACGGTAAATATATAATTATTAAAAATATAATCTAAGTATTTAACTAATAACTAACTCCTGTTTTTCATTATTCAAAATATCTCCCAATTGGCTAAAATAGTTGCGATCATAGACTATAAGTTCTGTTGTTTCATCAATCATAACATAACCTTTGAATACAATCTTTTCAATGTCCAGAAGCGGAATATTTTTATAATTTCTAAGAAATGATTTTATGTTTGTTTTATTTCCATATAACGCCTGTCGATCGATACGATCTACCGGTGCTGCAGATATTTTGGCTAATTTTTGTTCAAACAATACAATATCTTCGATATCGTTATCAATTGTGTCACTAATGTTTGTCATCTCTTTGCTCAACAACAGTACCGATCCTTTAATAAAAATTTTGTATGCATTCAGTATTTTCTTGTTGTTTGGATCATCCGATTTGACCAACTGTTCTCGTCCTACACCAAAAGTAGGACTGTCTACCTATAAATTAAATATTTCAATCATTTTATTATCATTAGTATTTTGATATTACTATAATTTATTATAAAATGCATTAAACTTACATAAATTGAATTGATTTTTGTGTTTTTAGAGTCCGAATCAATTGAGTTAAATAAAATAAAATGAAATCCATGTTCACGATTCAGTTTGGCATATATTTGTGACCAATGGTCAGTCAATCTAACAGTTTTGTCAATCATCGGCCACTGATTAACTATATCTCTGAGCTCATGTATACTTGAATTTCGTTTATCTAAATATAAATATAAATTATTTATTATTAATCGTTTATATTATTAGGAAACCAATATAAATATTCGTCAATTATATTATGAAATAATTATAATGACATTAATCAATACCTTTATCCATACATTGTTTGTATAGATTTACAGTTTGTTTGATAATCGGTGGATAAGTCGAATCAATATTGGATTCAAACAAAACTTTGATAAAAAAGGTTATGTTTTATTAGTAATATTCAATACAAAACACGTAAATTTATGTGTTATTTACAGTACAGTATGTATGTATGTATGTATGTATGTATGTATGTATGTATGTATGTATGTATGTATGTATGTATGTATGTATGTGTTTATGTGAAAATATATGATTATCTTCTAACCTCTTAGTTTATCATGCACATTTTTATTTAAAATATCAAACTGTGACCACATCGACCGATCGGGTGGTATAATGTTTGTCCGCATCCAACCGCCGCACGCGTACTCATAAAAGTCATCGCACGGATTGACCGACAAATTAAGGGAACTCTGTATCTGTGAAGCTGTTTCACATTTTTTACAATAATTTATATATAATATAATTTTTTTTTTGTATATAAAAATACCTGCTTTAAGGCATTCGGCTGTTTCGCAAATATCATTATTTTCATAATTATTTTCTATTATAAATTATTAAATTATAATTATAATAAAGTAATTATTATTAATATAATTTTTAAAATAAATTACTTTTTATTGCAGCAAAAATTAATCCAATTAGTAGTCCAATTGATATGAATACAAATATTACAATCGCTATAATTAACTTTTTTTCCAAACCACTTTTTTTACCCCAACAACTCATTATATATTAACAAATGATTATATTGTAAACTAATAAATATCAATAAAAATATACAGAGACTAAGCATTTAATACATAAAAATTTTTAAAAAATATTGATTAAATAAATTAAAGAATATATTAATCAAAAAATCATTTTAAAAAGCAAATAACAAATTTATTAAAGTTTACTAAATCATTAATATACATAATTAATAATTTATTTATTTTATATATAATTAAGTTTTTATGGATAATATCTCTATATTACTTTATATATGATTAGTGTTTAAGATAACTTTAGATATATAAGCTAATATTATATAATTAATATAACTTATTAATTTTATGAAAATACAATACAAAATGAAATCACAATATAACTACACTATTAAAAATTGTTATTTGTTATAAAATCAATCAATCAATCTAACTACAATAGATACAGTATTAACAATATAATAAAATAAGTTATTTATATAAATTTAGTTATAATTATATCAATCAACTACTACTATTAATATATGTATTATAATTATAAAAGTTTTACAATTTGTGAATATATTAATCAAAATTAAAATATCAATAATTATATCAAATATCATTTAGAGTAAAAATAGGAATATAGTTTTTAGGAACATTGAAATAATAAATATGTATTATTCAAAATAACAAAAATTTATTTTTGTTTTGTAAAATTAAATATTTAAATGTGTACACTAATAGACACTAGTCAAATATTTATTAAATCTATTATTAAAATAAAGATTATTAAAAACAATTTAACCAATTATTACATAATTAGTTTAAATATTACCTGATATTAATATTATGTTGTGAAATAAAAACTTAATACAAATTATATAATATTTTTTATAAAAATGGTTATTTTATTAAGCATTTTGCAAATTATTTTTTAAAGTACTTTTATCTGTAAGACTATAACTTATTGTTCATAAAATGTTTTCAATTATATAAGAGAGAAATAAAGTAATATTAATTTAATGATAATTGATTTTTACATTAAAATTAAATTAAATTCAACAATAAATGATAGGGCATATTAATATATAATTATAATTAATAATGATATTTTAAAATTTACTTGTAAAATGATAAATCATCTTTTAAATTATAATTTAAAATATAAAAATACAAATTAAGATAAATAAACTTAGGTAAATGCTATAAATGTTAAAAAATAGTATTTTAATAATAATAATATCTATATAATATTAATAATTTTAATATAAATAATAATATATTGTAATATTCATAGTAAATAAATTTTCAGATAAATTAGTTAATTATTTAATGGCAATTAAGTTAAGCTGTTATCAAAATATTATAGTTCATTAACACTACAGTAATGTTTGTCTGCTGAGTAAAATTCTAGACAAAAAAATATATAACACATTAAATATTGTTATAAATATTACAACATTTTATAGTATAGTATACTTGTAGTATCCAAACCAAAATTATCCAATAATATTATATAAATTATCAATATTATATCAATATCTATTAAACCTAAACTATAATCAATATAAATTATATATATATATATAATTATGAATTTTATTTTAATCAATTATTAATTAATATAGTATATTAATATTTCTAAATGACACTGATATTAAAAAAATATATTTATTATTATTAAAAGTAATAGTAAATTAATATAAAAAGTACAATATGTAATATTATTTAGTAGTAACCAGTACTATATAATGAAAATATTAATTTATACATTTTTACTTAAGTAAACTAAATATCATTTTCTGATAATCCTATCCGATCCGATTCAATATGTTTTAATTTATAGACTTTATTTAAAAATAAAACATTAAACTTATTAATGTTATTACAAAAATGGAGTTGAATAATAAAATAGTTTTTCTAAAAAATAATTTAAAAAAATTATATCTACTTTTAAAAAATATTATTTTTATTGCAGTTGTTGTTGAGTATTATTATTTAGTTAATTAGTTTCTGGCTATTAATTATTTACATAAAGTATAATATAAAAATTCTGGATAATATATACTCTATTAATTGTATAGTAAATGTGTTTTATATAATCATAATAATATATGAAGCCATGTTAAATTTATTTGTTAAAATTTTTGCTATTTTAAATATTTTTCATATAAATAAATTATCATATAATAATATAATAGTCAATGCATTAAATGAAACTAATGCTAAATCAGTAAAAAGTAAGCCAAATTATACCAGCAATTAATGTGTTTATAATTAATTAAATACTAACAAATAATTTATTTGTATTAATAATAATTTTTAAAGACAGTGATAATAAATGGATTGGTATAATAAATAATTTGCTAACACATGCTAACGGAAAGTTTGATTATAAACAGGAATATTCAGTAGATTTAATCAACATTTACAGTCAGTATTTAAAAATTAGTCATCAATTATCTAACTGTTCTAAAAAAACGAGTTTTGCGAACGATATAAGCGATTGGGATTATAGAGAAGCCCAAAGAATTGCATCAATTAATGTTGAAAATTATCTGAAAATAGAGGAAAGTTATGTTACAAAAAATCCATCGATTTTACAGTTTAGTCGCCAACTATACGATGCAAGTATTAGAGCAAAATTTAATGAGTTTATCTTAATTGCATTGATTAAAATGTAAGTAAACTATTATTGATTTTTTAATAATTAAAATGTTATCATAAATATAAGTAGACTTCAATACTATTTGTTTTAATATTTATTAAAATTACAAATAGATATCTTAATACTATATTCTATAATTATATTTAATAAGAAAATTATTAATTTAATAATATTAATTTAAATATTAATGCATATTTTTAAAAATTTTCATTTATTTGTATCTTTTAGTAAATGTTTAAACAGATATGAGACTATAATGAAACTATTACCGGCTTATCAGAAAAAACGCATTTCAGATCATTTAGATACCGGAGTGTTATGTGAATTGGAGAGGAATGTTAGCCAAGATGTGACCTGTAATCCCAATTTCAAATATCGCCGAATTGATGGCAAATGCAATAATTTGAAACAAATCAATTGGGGTTCGGCTTTCCATTGTCAGCGACGACTACTACCGCCCGACTATTCAAACGGCATTAACGGAGTACGGGTGGCATTGGACGGCAGTTTACTGCCTAATGAACGACTCATTAGTACACACGTTGGCCACGAGTTTGATGTTTACGATAAACGAAGAAATTCTATGCAAATGATTTGGGGGAAAGTGATTGCCAACGATGTGGTGAAAACATTAAAATATTTTGGCAATAATATGACGTGTTGTCCACCGGCACCTACACATCCCGAGTGTGGCCGAGTAGTCATAGATGACGACAAATATAGTGTACATTTGAAAACTTCATGTATGTCTGTCACGAGATCGTTGGCTTGCAATACGTGTCGCTTAGGTTTGTCTTTATATTTATGTATACTTTTTAAATTTAAATATTAATATCTGTTTGTAATACAAACAAATTGTTAAGAAATAAATAAATAGCAATTTCACATTTATTTATTTTTTTAAAAAATATTGATATTAAAATAATTGTCGGCCAAAAACTACAGGTTTTCGTGAACAACTGACTGCTGTGCCATCATATCTGGATCTATCATTAGTATATGGTTTTGATAAAAACGATGCAAATAAATTGCGAGCACTTACTGGAGGTTTGGTTATAATTTTGCGATTATTTAATAACTAATTAGATTAATAAACTATTAAGTCTTGTGTTAGGATTAATGCAAACAAACCAATCATTAGTTGATACGACAATATTGCCGACAATCGTTGATACAGACATAATACATGACTCGGATGTCTCTAATTCAGATATTTATGATAGAAGTCAGTCATGTAATGTACCGCCGGATAGGCCGTGGCTCCAGTGTTTTAAAACAGGTGACGGCGTTCGGGGCAATCAACAGGTGCTGATAGCAACCCTCACATTGATTCTAGTATTAAGACACAACCAGCACGCAGAAGGGTTGGCTAAAGTGAACCGACACTGGAATGATGAGCTACTGTTTAGAGAAGCCAGGTTTGGTTTAGATTAGTTATATATATATATATATTAAATTAATTTTTATTTAATTTAAATATTTTGTATGTCTTCAGACGTTTATTAGAAGCTGAATATAATTTCATAAACTTTTTCGAGTATTTGCCGTCAATACTGAATAAAGATTTAATGGATTACTTTGATCTCAATGTCCGACCACAGGGTCAGTACAGTCAGTATAATCCAGATGTGAATTCTGATGTCATCAACGAGTTTGGTTCCGCCACTTTCCGATTCGGTCATTCAAATATCAATAGCAAGTATCCCATTATTAATGGCAGTCCATTGAATTCATCGTCATTAACCTTACGGTATAACTATGGTATGATGTCTCAGATATGGGATGGAAATGTAAGTTATATTTTAAGTTTAAAAAGTTTTGAGATTTACTGAAAATGATATATTTATCAGACAAATGGTCTGATGAGAGGTATGTGTGAGGACAGGCAGGAGGCAACAGACTTGAATTATACACCTGATGTTAAACAGTATGTAAACTTCAGTCCGTGTCGACCGAAACTTAAGGATCTGATGGCAATAGACGTGTCCAGAGGTAGAGATCACGGAATAGCACCGTATGTTTATTATGTAGAGTACTGTTCAGGTCTTAAGATTACCAGTTGGGATGATTTGAAACAATTGATGCCTAAATATATTATTAGTGAATTGAAAGATGTTTTTAAGTATTTATTAATTTGATTTTTAAATATATTTATTTATTCAAATTGTGTGATAATAATAATATTATTATTAATTAGAGACTACAGAGATATTGATTTATTCATTGGAGGACTGGCTGAGTATCATATGAAAGACTCGACAACAGGTCCAACATTTGCCTGTATTAATGCCATACAGTTTTATCACTTAAAATTTGGTGATAGATATTATTTTGAGCATGGTAATCAATCAGGATCTTTTTCAATTGGTAATTATTAATATTATTACATAAATAACACACAAACACATACATTATAATTATTTATTAAATCAAAACTATAGCACAGTTAGATAATATCCGAAAAACTGCATCAATGGCTAACCTGTTGTGCAAAACAATGAGCTTTGAGTCCATCCAAGAGATGGCTTTTTATGTGTCGTCAAAGTCTAATGCATACAAATCTTGCGGCGATTTTCGTCAAATTGATTACAATTTATGGACTGAAGATGTGTCCAAATGTGATGAGTTTTGTCAAAATAAACGATTTATAACTGCTTTAAATGATACGGAATATAAATTTCCCATTCAATCATAAATTTATATTAATTTATATTCAAAAGTAAATGCAAATTATTTTTATTAAGTTTAAACAAACAATAATATTAGTAAATAATTTTTCATCATAAAATTTTTAATTTGTACAGAGTAAATAATTAATTAAATATAAAATAATGTACCAATAGTATTTTTCAGAAAATCTTATATTATTAATGTTTTTAAAAAAGTGGTTTCATAAAAAAATCATTCAAACATTAAGTATAATAAAATATTAATAAATAAAAATGATTTTTTATTTAAATTAAATATATATCAATGCATAGAGTTGGCAAAAAAGATAATTTTTAAAAAGAATTGAGAAATTTCTGGAAAATTTCTAAAAGAAATTTCTGCTTATGGGATCCCATATTATTATTTTTTCTCTTGATGTTTGTTATCTTAAAACAATTCATTATAACTATAAATATTAACTAAATAATTTATTATTAGTATTTTAATTAATATTCAAAGTAAAATATAATTCTTTTAATTACATCAATCAAAAAATATAAATCAATTATAAATAAAATTTTACAAAATCTAATTATAATTAGATAATTATATTAATTATATAAATAAGAATTCCATTAATATAGTAGTGTAATAAAAATATAGTATAATATTACTATAGAAATTATGTATCATTACTACAGTATTACAATAGCTATAGATATGGAGATCCCATAGTATGATGAGAAATTTATTCATGTGAAACTTTCTAGAAATTTTCTTAGGGAATCTATTAGAAAATTTTTATTTGTCCATCTATATATATATATACTAATATAAATTATAACTTTAAAATTAATTACGTGTGTTTATTAAAATATATTAACAAAAAAATATATATAATTTTAATTGTCAGGCAAAGAATTATTATTATTATTATTTAATTTTTCAATTTTGTTTGTCTCAGTTATATACTTATTAGTTTTTAATAGCAACAAATAAAATGCTATAAATCTAAATATAAGAAAAATAATTATTAATTTAAATATACTGTCGTAATAAATATCATCATTTATATTAAATTTATATAAAATCAATGAAAACTGTGATCCTTGACATCGATTCTGACCATAAATGGCTATCAAAACACAGTTGTATGTATGTTTGATATAAGATAAATCACTTAACACTTGAAAAATGTAGTGAAACTCATCTAATGGTATGTAAATATTGCTTAAATTAGATGATATTAAATAAAAAACTACAGAAGCATATATTGCCATCGATTGATTGTTACTAAATATAATGCCTGATATGTGGCCAAAACTCTGTGAACACAAAACCACAAACAACAGTGTATAGAGATATACAAAATACATGCGTTTGGAGTCGTAATAATTGATTATATAGCTGAACATAAGCATCGATATCAGCAATGGTAGAAAATCAATCACCGATTTGCTAATATAATAAGCACCTGTACTATACCAACCTGTAATGAATATTAAAATTATTATTTAATATTTTTAAAACTTTATAAAACAAACCGTTTCGGTGTTCATTAAAAAATATGTTGACTTTCGATGAGAAAGTCATTGTTGTCAGTATTATCTGTATAAAAGATGATCCCATAAGAAACGACATGTGATACTGTAGGTTACGTTTCAATAGTGATTCATCATTAAGACTCTCTTCAGTTTCAGTACAATTCATGCCATAAGTGAATATGTTGTCATCGACACAACCGTCCGCCAAAATCATGCGTCGATTGTAAAGTGTAGACAAACCTATAGCCAAACCCAGGTATAAGACAATTTGAAAACATATAGACTTCCATTCGTAAACATAGGAACACAACATATTGCGGACGGTTAGATGCCAGAGATCGGACAAATAAAAACGTTTTGATCTAAAAAACATGTCTTTGGTTGATTCAATTGTCTGAACATTGCACCGGGAAATAAGTCCCTCTTTTGTTGACAAGTTGTTTGTTTGAGATAACTTTTTCAGACAACTGTTTTCATGGTCTACCGATGCCAACATCAACATGTGCTCAATTGGATGTAGATTTTGCTGATAGGAACTGTCGTTTGCGTTAAGAAAATGGTGTATATCTTGCGGTCGACCACTAAATATGTTTGTGCCAGACCTGGACAACACGTATACCTTATCAAATAATTCAAGTAAATCACTATTTGGCTGATGTATAGTAGTTATAACAGACATATTGTGACGACGACATAACATCTTCAAACATGAAATTATCTATTAATTAATAAATTAATTAAATTATTGTTTTTTTGTGTGTTTAAAGTTATGTTGTTTTGTGGCATACCTTTAGTGCACTATAGCTGTCGACACCACTGGTAGGCTCATCGATGAACAAAATATTTGGCTTACAATATACCGTCAGTTCCGATGCAATGACAATACGCTTAAGTTGTCCGCCACTACAGTGCGAAACATTTATATCGCTAATATCATTAATTAACATCTCATCCATCAATTTATCTGTAATTACTTTGTGATCAATTGATTTTCCACTAAAACAACTATTTTTCAATTTTGATGCATATATTAAATATTGTTTTACAGTCAAACCAGTGACTAAATGATCAAAAATGTTTTGCGATATAAAACACGTCCTGATCTTCATTGAAGATGTCAAATATATTTTAGACTTATCTGTCAAATGTTGACTATTTTGACCGCTCAGACATTTTAGTAATGATGTCTTGCCGGCACCGGACGGTCCCATCACAGCATTTATTGTGTTTAAGTCAAAGCCACCACTTAGTTGATTAAAAATATTTTTTTTAGTTTTTTTGCTATTTGTCTGCACTCTAACTAATGTTAATTCAATCCATGCAATTAATAGTAATCTATTAAATTGTAGACCATTTTCATCGGCTAACTGATCATTATTTTGGGTTTCCTCTAAATTTATATTACAATCATTTATTTGTTGATTGAAATTTTGTTTAATTTTTTGTTGTTGTCTAGTATTTAGATGAGATTTATACCACTCATTCAATTTGTTAATAATTGAACCAAAATTCACATTTATAGATGTGATTAGCAAAACAAATTCAATTATCTTAAGCACCAAAAATATGATCAGTAATGACATTAAACAAAACCAGAAGTCTCGATGACTTTTACCACCACTACTGTTGTCATCAATCTTGTAATCATAGAAAACACGTGACTGTCCTGAACCACATCGACCCAAACCGTAGGTCACTATTAATAATCCGTTGAATAGATGTTTCTGAAAAGTTATTTCACTGAATAGTTGAAAGGGATATATAAACTCTTTGATAGGTATGGCATAGTTACAGAAAAACACAAGTGCTATGAATGAGGTCATGGATGTCATGACAGACAAACGTTTATTTTGACCTAATATTGTGGCAATAATTGTACCGAAACTTTGCGAACATAACATTGTCGACACAAAAATCAGTGTATAATATAAGTAGCGATAATAGTTGTCAAACTTTTGACTAAAATAAGTTACAATTAAACATTGAATTATTGAGTTAACTATTATAGGAATAGAGTCTACTGTAGACTTAGATATAAAATAGGAGCAAATACTAAACCAATCTGTTATTTAAAATTAAAACAAAGTTTTTAAAAAAATTATAATAATAATTATATTACAAATAAATTTTCTATAAAAAAGTAAGTTTTGAATAAATTTTTATACCGTTTTTATATTCACTTAACAATGTATTGATTTCGTTGGCAAAATTTTTTGTAGCGATACCTATTGTAGTTAACATAAATAAAAATGATGTCAAATAAATGAGATAAATATTTTGGTTGATAATAGATTTATCATGCTCCTTTTTTAAACAATTATTTTGATCAACAAGTGATTTAAAGCAACCATCAATACGCCAATTATCATCATTGATGGCAAACATTACAATTGTGGCAAACATTATGTGAAACACTGTTTCGGCTAAAAGTGTCTTCCATTGGATTATATATTGAATGCGAATTCTTCTGGCGATCAGATAATAAATATCTTTAAAATTCAATTGTTTTTTATGCGATTTAATTAAATCTTTAAAATTATTATCAATTATATTATCACTATTTGTTTCGGCCATAAATCGGTGTGTATTTAACTCAGATGTCTTATCAATCATATGTTTTATACGGCTATCATTATTATTATCATTTGCCGATACTTTAAGCAATACTTCAATTGGAGATTCATTGGTATCACATGTTATGTTTGACTCTGACATAAAGTCTTTCAGCTCCTGAGGTTTGCCCGTAAATATAACAAATCCTTTTGACAGCACATGTATGCTATCAAACATGTCGAAGATATCAGTATTTGGCTGATGTATTGATGTCAGTATTGACATGTTATGATTAAGAGTTAAGTTATATAAGCAATTCATTACCTAATATAAAAAATAAATTATTTTATAAAATATTATTAAATAATATATTACTTATTAATGAACTATAGTTTATTTTCATACCAATTGTGCCGCATTACTGTCCAAACCAGTAGTCGGTTCATCAATACATAGTAAATAAGGCTTACTATGAGCTGTCAGCTCAATAGCAATGGACAGTCGTTTGAGTTCACCTCCACTACAGGTGCCGACAATGCTATTCTTGATATCATTTAATAGAAACTGTTCTATAAGGAGATCCACATTATTTTGGTGATCAATTTGTTGACTATGACAACTGTTTTTCAATTTTGATGAATATATTAACGACTGGTTAACAGTCAATAATTGATGTAAACAATTGCTTTGAAATTGACTTATAAAACATGATTTAAAATCTACAATATTTTTGTTATAGACTATTGTCGATCTACTGGACAGTCCTTTTTGTTGAAAACCGTTTAGACATTTCAATAGATTTGTTTTACCCGAACCACTGGCGCCGATCAGTCCGTTAATAGTTTTTAATTCAATACAACCGCTAATATTATGGAGAATAGTCTTTTGTGATGACTTTGTTAGACTACTTCCCACAGTATAATCAATATTAAGCCAAGTTATTAGCATTTTAATCAAATTTTATTAACTAAATGCTATACAAATATAACAAAAAATTAATTAAAATAAAATTTAATAATTCTCACCATTTATTCAGAAAAATAAACTTTTAAAAACCTAAATAAGATTATAAGAAATTTTAATATAAAATAAACAAAATTTTATATAATTACTGTATTTGAACAAAAATGAATGAAAATTTTGTAAATTATTTATATTGTGTTTATCTTATATAAAAATAAAGATATGTTTTTATATAAATACAATACTACTGTATTAGATAAGAAAAAATAATTTATTTCTAAAATTTATAAAGTAATTTCAAAATTTAATGAATGTTGAAACTATGATAATATTATTTAATACAATATATAACTTATTAAAAAAATATTAATCTAGATTATAACACTATATTTGTTTAAATTTTAAGCAATATTCTTATAATATAATTTTGTATATAAGTTTTTATTTATAAGTTATAAATTATAACATCTATTTATACTGTACACGATGATGATGATACTGATATGATTTATAATATACTATTTTAGCAAGTTTAACTAGTTATGTTATAGCTAGTTTAAAATAACTAATAAAAGCAACTATGTTTTTAATGTTAATGAAAGATTAATAATTAATTAAAAATTTTTAATGTTTTTAACAGTCATTGCACTAAACTTTTCAATGAGTTTTGATTATTGTGTTGATTATCTTTGATTTGTCCCATTATAATGTTGTCCTCTACGGGTGTCGAGTAGATTACGACTACCGTTTTTAACCACATAACTTGCCATATCAATTTTAAAAATTAATTAAAAGTGTCATAAAGGTATGGAACTAATTACCACTAAACCTGCCATACCCTGGCAGATAATGCGATAACTAAAATAACCGAATGGCAGTAAATGTGATAACTGGTATCTACACTACTATAAGTGTTTTAAATATCTAAATTTAGTTATAATTAATTAAATATATGATCAATCAATAAATAAATAAATAATTTAATATTATAGGATCGATCTATAATTAATAACTGATCGATCAATACTATAAAATTAATAATCAAATATATAATAAATTTAATTCGCATTAATAATGCATAAATAATCGTATTAAATAATGATAAAAAATTATGAGTGGCATGAATTTGACACATAATAAAAACTTATAACATGGCTGGGATTTTGTGCCCCTAAATCTAGCAAATTCCAGGGGAACCAATTACCACGAAACCTGCCACTTATCGCATTACCTTCCATGCCAAATTATGTGCGCAACAACGGTAAGTGTTAAGTATAACTATAAAAGAAATTTTATTATACAAAATAATATATTAAATACTGATTATAAATGTATAATATCTCATATTTAATTATTTTTTTTGTTAGTATTAAATTTATTTTTAATTAATTTATGATAAAATAATTATTTGTTATATACTTTGATTTCCAATATATATACTGTATATCTATATTTATTAGAAATACATTATAATACTTATAATTTCTATTGTAAATTATTATTATTATATAAAAAGATTAATAATTGTTATTATAACTAAATAATTATGACGTAAATGTTTATATATCTACAAATAATATTAGATTATTAAAAAAGGTCACACTTTTTATATCTTTATCATTATTATTATTCATGTGACATTAACATTGAACTAATAATAAATAAAATAATAATAATAGATTAGTTTAGTTATTAAATAAATGATTGAAACTAAAGAAAATAATGCAATTAAAAATAATTTATTTTACAATAAAATTTATACGAAAAAGTGACAATAAATTTATTTCAATTTCTGTGCACAACTGAAGGCATCTTTGGCTTCACAGGCAATCAATTCAATACAACCGACAATTGATTTAGATTTAAGACATCCCAGAGTTGGAGACACACAGTGTTCGCACCAGTCTTTGCCCATACACTCCAAGAAATGCCAGGCCTTTACACCAAACTTTTCAATAAGTTTTGCGTAGTCTTTGGCAGTCTTTGATTGGTCCAAATTACTATTGTCATCGACATCAACGGGGGTCGAGTAGGTTATGGCTACCAATGCCAACAATAAAACAAGAGCTAAATAGGCTTTAATAGCAAAAAAATTAATATAATTTCTATTACAATATATTTATAAATAAATTATACAATTTTGTATATATTGTACCTTTCATTTTATACTAACAATACTGTTTTGACAATTTAGATTTTTTTTATACAAAAGTAATCAATTAAACAATTAATATTTTTCAATACTTAAGTCTCGCTATTTATATATAGCCAAAAATTTATAGATTAATTTTAATCAATTTTATATGAAATTATTTTATCATTGTTTTGTTAAAAAAAATAATATCTATTATTTAATAAATGACAATAACAAGGATCTTTACATAATATCAATAATATTAATTTTTTATCATATTATAAATTTGATAAATACAAAGTTCAAGTTTTTTGGTTGTCATCATTGAGTAATAATTAAAAATATATATCAAAATTTACAAATATTTTTACTTATATCATATTTATATAAGTATAATGTTAATATCAAAATAACAATTTTAATCAGGATTATGAAAATCAATTAAATTAAAATTAAATTTAAGATTTTTTGAGTGTAATTATACATACTTTATGATAACCAATATTAATTATCTTAATCAATTTATCAATTAACGTAATTGTTATTTATTTAATTAAAATTGTATAATCTATAATATCTGGTACTTTATAAAAATCATGTGCAGCTGTTTAGAAATAAAATAAAATATTATTTTAATTACTTTTACATTTAAAACTTTTCATTTAACTTTGATGGATGTCTTATAAGTGTTTTGTACAAGAGTTTTGTTTACACAAACCGAAACCGATAGTTAGTTAACAATTTGGTAATTGTTTGATAATTTTGATGACCTGATTCATAATTGATATTATATTGAAATTACAATTATATGATTGATATTAAACAAAATATTTATAAATAAAAAAATGAATCGATTTGTTAATTACAGTATTTATTATAGATTAAAATTTATACACAAAAATACTTAATTTATTTCAATTTTTGTGCACAACTGAAAGCATCTTTGGCTTCACAGGCAATCAATTCAATACAACCAACAATTGATTCATTTTTAAGACATCCCAGAGTTGGTGACACACAGTGTTCGCACCAGTCTTTGCCCATACACTCTAAGAAATGCCAGGCCTTTACGTTAAACTTTTCAATTAGTTTTACGTAGTCTTTGCCAGTCTTTAATTTGTCCCAAATATTGTTGTCCACGTTATTAACAGGTGTAGAGTTGGAGTAGATTATGACTACTAATGCCAACAATAAAACAATAGCTAAATAAACTTTAATTTAAAGAAATTAAAATTTATTAGATATTAATTATTTTTTATAAATATTTTTTAATAAATTATACAATTTATAAATTGTATATACTCTACCTTTCATTGTTTTTACTTATTATACTTTAATCAATTTAACAATTAATATTTTTCAATATTTAATTTAAATGATATTTTATAAAAATTATATGCAGCTGTCGTTAACAGTATTAATAAAATATAATATTATATAAATAATAAATTTACCATAAGTTTTGCATCCTATTAAATAATTTTAAAAAATAGATTTTATTTATTAATTATACATAAATAGTTAATTTATTTAATAATTATAAATAATATGTTATTTCACTTTTTTAATTTAATAAAAAAAAATATACACTTAGATTAACAAACAAATTCTAAATAAAATTCGACACATTATTTAAATTGTAATATTGATAGTTTAAATAATATTAAAATTACATAATAAAGCATTATACTTGTTAATTATTAAATATAAAATATTAATTAAATATCATAGCTTTGAAATTATTAATATTTATTTTAATTTAATTAAATTTTTATTTAAAATAAATATTTATTAACATACAATTTACCTTATCTTTTATATTTTTGTTATTATTATTATTAAACTATAAAAATAATGCATTTAATTAATCGATATGATGTTATTTCTAAATAAAAATTAAATTCATGATAAACAATGATTAATGTAATGAATGCTTTATAAAAATATATTTATGACTCAAACTTTAGGTATGGTTCATATTTATGGATCGGTTTATTGGTATTACTTTCAAAAGTAGTAAACTCTTGCACTGACTCCGTGTCCGACCCTATCGCCGACCCGATCGCCGATCCGATCGGTTCTATTGGCAATAAATATTTTGGCTGTGCTTTAAACAGTTCATTGTTTGATGAGATCTTTGAGATCAACTCCTGATTTGTTGGTAAATCTTTTGGCTCATTATTGTCATTATTGTTAGCTTCTGTGGTAACAAATTCTGTTACCATCGGTACTTCAGAAGAAATTGTTGTCATTTGATTTGGTTTTTTCATTAACTGAATAGTAGTCACAATCGTAGAAATGTCATCAAATTGTTGAGAATAGTCAGTTACGGGTGAATAGTAAGCAACTGTCCGTTCCATTGGCTCCATAGCCGTAGTGCTGAGTTTTGGATCAGATTCCGAGGCATCGGTAGCTATGATATCTATTCCCTTAAATGTTGTTTCCGGAATCAGTGTAGTTGTGGTGATTACCTCTCTATCACTTTCTGGTTGTCTTAATCTGTGTTTTTGCACTTTACGGACCCTTTTAATCTGTTGAGGAAATCCAAATAGTGCCTGAAGTGGTGGTATGTATTGAACTTTAGTTTCATTTAATCCATCAGTTGATAGCCTAATGTCTGCCATGATATTCATCGGATGATTAGTGTCTTCTAAAGTATCCAAATCTTGTCTGTCATTTTTTATCAAAGAGTTGTCTGATTTGTTCACATTTATGATCTGTTTTCTAGAAATACTTTCCAACAGTATATCTTCAGATGACGTTTCCGTAGGCAATACAGTTGTCGTTGTTTTTGTTTCAGCACCGGTAGTGGTAGTAGAAGTCGTAGTGATAGTAGTAGAAGAAGTGGTTGTGTATTGTGTTTCATTAGTAGACTTGTTATCGGCAACAATGGGTACAAAATATTCATCAGAGTTATCATTATAATTGTGCCAAAAATTATCTAAAAATTCATTACTTATGACTTCACTGTTAGTTTTTGTTGTTGGACTTTCTGTGCCGCCATCAGTACTGGTCGTTATGGTTGTCGACTGTAGACCATTGGCAGCTGTAGTTGTCTCTAACGGCGCTAATGTTTGATTGTCGACCTGAGCTTCGGAATACATAATAGTTTTTTCGTTAAAGTTTTGGAAAAACTCATCGAAAAACTGTATGTGCGATGAATTTATAGACTTTCCCTGTGGTTCAGAGTTAACTGACTGGTCATAACTGATTGGTGTCGTATAAATAGTTTCTATAGGAGTCTCAGTTACACTGACCGAAACCGACCGTTCGGTAACTATCTGGTCATCATTTGGCGACTTTTGTCTTAACCTTTGAAAAAATCTCTTCAATATATCAGTTGTATTGCTGCCATCACTTTGATTGTTGTCTGCATTTGATGTAGTAGTAAATGTAGTACTGGAGCTGATTGTTGTCCTATCAATTGGTGATGATGTGGTTGTGGTAAAACCTAATATATCGCCACCTATTTTCCAACCTCTGTTACCACTGTTGGCAAACCAATCAAAAGCCGATTTTGTCGATTCAGGTGTTATTGGTTTATCCCTGTTTTCCACTGCACCGGCAGTTATGTCTATACCAAACAAACGAGTCGACAGATTATTCATGTCAGTAGTAGTAGTAATCGGTGATGTGATTGGTTTCAATGTAGTTGTTCTCAATTGATCTCCACTTTCGACAATTATCTCAGTGACCACTTTGTTGATCAAGTGATTTGTATTATTTTTAAAATTATTTGTATTATCTTTACTGTTATTATTTCTAATATTATCTGATAATATCTCAAACCAATTATCATTATTTCTATTATCATTTGATTTGTCTTTATTATCAACAAGTCTTTCAAATGGTTTCTCTCTAAGTGTTTCAAAATAAAAATTTTTATCTAAATATTTAGGTTCTTCTTCTACTTCTTTGTTCATATCTTCATGTATTGCCCTAAACTCTTCAATACCGGCCCTCTCGAAGAATGGGCTAACAGACTCTTCGTGTGGTTCACCATTTGTTTGATGATTAATTCGTTCACTATATGAACTGCCAATTGGTTTGGTTGATCTTGTTTTGGGTCTTTCGGTAGTAGTAGTAATTGTTGTTGTTGGTGGTGGTGATGTTGGTGTTGCGGTACTAATTGATGGTTCAGTACTGCCATGAATGAAACGATCCCGAAGTCGAGTCCATAGGTCTGACTGATATTCGCTTTCATTGTTTGGCACTTCACTTGTATTGTTGTTACGCTCGTCGACCACTTCGTGTATTTCACGGCTAACAGAAGTGACAAAACTGACTGTTGGCTCACGTGTTGGGTTGAAATACAGGTGCTGTTGATCTTCAGGCAAATGAACGGCTGTAGTATGTATTGCATAATCTGGTTTAGCAGTAGTGGTGGTCGCACTAAATGTCTGTTCCCGATGAATGATAGGCCTATTCCTCAATGTATTACTTGATTTAGTTTTTGATACATTATTTTTGAGATAAATCTCTAAATTTCCAAAATTATTATAATTACTACGAAAATCATAATTAGCTTTATTTGTATTATTATTATTAACACTATTATTGATGTTATTATCTCTATTGACATCTGATATGTTTTTCGGTTGAATAATGTGATTGACGTCAAAATTAAATACAGACTCCTTATAGTTGGGATCGGTTTTATTATTGTCTGCACCGGTAACACGTCTCAGATCGTCGTCAGTACTGACTGATGGCTGCACTACTGAATTAACTTTAACTCTGACCACTCTATGTCTGATCGGTCGCCGAGTAGTGGCCACCAAAACGCCGACAGGTTTGCTAAACACTTGTCCCGTTGTTTGCGAGTTTGTGCCCTCTTTTTGTTTCTGTATTTCAGATAAATGTCTTTCAAGTTGTTTACGCTCTCTATATTGTCTTTCCAGTAAATCTTCACTATTACTTAAACTGAAGATCTGATGAACCTTTTGAACGATCGGATTAGATGCCTGTCCACTGTTTTCTTCTAAGTCGCTGTCGTCAGTATTGATCAGTTTACTAGAATCATCACTTCTATAATCCATGGTATGGGCTTCGGGATGATAGAGAGGTGGATTGAATTTAGTGGCCAACTCTATACCGTAACTATCGGGCTGTTCGCTAGCAGTGTCCACTTGTGGAGCGGTTGCCTTAAAATACAACGGTGTCGATGAGGTCACCTGTTCGCCGATCTCTTCAGTAGCGTAATAGCCTGTATTACCCGACACATACTTAACCACACGAAACATCCCAAACGGGTCGGTATAGCCATACCTTCCGGTTACTGTTCCGTCAGACAGGCGTACCTCTTCCCGCATAAGTCGTGGCACATCTTTATCTTTATCGTCTTTATCCTTTTCGTATCAAATATAAAGTAAAGTTAGAAATATTTATGTTTTTATAATTTATTATTATTTTGTTATATTTAATTAAAGTGAAATGTCCATTTAATGTGCATTTAATGTTAATTTTATTGATTTAAATTATATTATAATTATGATTTTATATCTTAATTTTTAATTTATAAAATATTTATATTAAGATATTATTTTAAATATCATAAATATATTCAATTTCACTATCACTGATGACATACCTTAGAGTCGTATCCAAAATAGTAAGTCGGAGGGGAAGGGCTGACACCATATGTATTGGAGTCATCCTGTGATCCCTTTTCAGAGTAGTTGTCCTCCTCTTTGGCCGCAAATATGCCGATAGTTATGCTCAACGACAACACAATTACTGTTGTAAGCTATTGTCATAAATACATAATTATTATAATTAACGCGTGAGTTATTTGTTAAGAAAAAATTCCATTAAATTAGGTTATAGTTTATAATAATAGCTTTTATATTTAATAGTTATAATATCCATGTCTTATGTTATGTTAAAAGCATACAAAAGTCAGTGAACATCAGTTATGGTGTGAAACGCCTTACAAATTAGTAATTCATATAATAATTTCAAGACAACGCCTTTATAACTGTTAATAATATATTTAATATTTTTTTCAGTAAAACGCTGTTTAAGTCAATTGATAATTATTTTGTCTTAAATAAAAATAAATATTTGTAAACTTTTCCTAAAAGATTCTGTAAAATTTTGATAATTTAAACAAAATATTTATTTATAAAGTATTTATAAAAATAAAATCTCAAAATTAAGCATTTTCCATAAAAATAATAGTTAATAGCTAGTATTTTATTACTAGTATGACAAATTTACTGCAAATAATCTTTTAAATTGCTAAAATTTATTTTAGATTATAACAATCATATATAAGTTATTACTAAATATTTATCTTTTAAATTGCAAATTTATTATAACAAGAGTTATAGTCTATAAATCAATAAGTTATCTATATTTAT